ATGCTAAAATATTAATTATATGAAAATGAAGAATTTCGTTTTCTTTGGGAGGTTTCAAGTTTAATAAGTAAATTTGTGAAATTTCCCAAAATGATAAAACAGAGGAGTCTCCAAGTAACTATACACTTTGATTAATGCACCATATCAGTTAGCAACATATATTGACACCTTGGAATATTTACTTGTTACAGAAAGTAGCTACCAGATGAGATTCACAGCATCAATCCATTTCATCCTACTGAGGCTCAACAACAACATCATCATGTACTTTAAAATAATGGCTAGCAGTAGATTTTTTAATGGGACAGCACTAATTTTAACTTTTTTTATTTTTTTTATTTTAATCATTTCACCCAAAGGAAGACAATAATGCCACTAAGATGAAAGGGGTCACTGGGAATGGAAGAGAATGTGAAAACTTTAGCAAGGAGAAACGACAACAAAAGAACAGATTTTAGGAAGAAGGTGAAAGATGTTGCATTTAAATTTTTGAAGATTGTAGATGGCAGGGAAGCCACAAATTGGAAGAGAGATCTGCAAGTGAGAAAAGAAATTATTAGAATATAATTTATGGTTGCATCTAGCTATTTTAATAGTAAAACAACGAAACCTGGTAGGTAATCTAGTAGTATGCTTAAATTTATGTGGTCAAGATACTAAAGAGGAAAGTTCATTAAAACAATTGCCAAGAAAATATATCTAGAAAATACAGGTGTAGACACACAATGCTAATCAAACAGGTAGTTAATGCTTCAGAATCAAAAATGGAAATGACAAATAAACGTTCGTACACAGCTAAGTGCAGAACTTCTGTCTCTTTCAACTTAAAAAAATAAGAAATTTAGATCCCGTATTTCAGCCAAGTGTATATAAAAGGAAATTGGAATTAGCTTCAGGGTCAAATTTTCAACCCTTGCTACTGGAAGCCATGTCGGTCATTTCTTTGATACATTTTCAAGCACCCAACACAAAGAACTTGATTTTTCTCAACTGACAGAAACATTCTTTTCTCTCATACACACAACTACAGAAACATTATACACTACTTTTCTTTCACATAAACATTGAAAAAAAAAAAAAAAAACAGAACGCATATAAATTAATCTGATATTTCTTACTAACACTCGTACAGACATTTACGAACATAAGAAACTTTACTCACTCATCAAGTACCAAAAACGTTGTCATATAAAATAATTGTTATTGAATATTGTTTCTATTCTCTGCGTTTTTTAAAATCTATTTATTGTGGAATTATCACAGAGGCCATAGCTTCACAACAGACGGAAGCTACATCATGGTAGTGGGAAAGTGACTGAAGTCAAGATGCTAGGTCAGGATTGATAACATTACAGAAACTTAACATATATAACTGGAGCACCAGATCATCTATAGCAGTAAACATGTAAGAAACTATGATTCACACTCATGTGTGCTCCCACATTGACCCAAATTTCTTACAAAAATTGTCACTGGGTTCTCACAATTGTTTTCATTATTCGTCCTTCAATAATATATGTTAAGTCAGTCACTCCCATTTGTGTTTAGAAACAAAGGTGGGTGAACAGAAACTCTTGATTGAAAAAAATTACTCATAACTTTTGTTAATATCACCACATTTGCATGAAACAAAGTAAATTATGACCCCCTTAAGTAGTAGAATTTAATTGCTAATTTCTGTTCTTATTTCAGAGTGACAAGTGTGGCCTAGAATGGTACTATGCTTAACACTGCATGAGTGTGATCAGCCAGCATCCTGTTATGATGTGGGGCAATACAAGTACAGAGATAGTGGTGCAGTGTTCATGGACCTTATGATTCAGTAGATGTCAAAACCAAGTGCAATAGTGCCAGGTGAGCATGACTGATGAGGGTGTACCTTGAACTTGACTTGGCAATTTCACTTTCCACACTAATAACAGTGTATATCAATCCAAGTGACCTACAGGGAATTCTGAACTGAATCCTTGAATTCCCTGTAGGTTACCCACATCAATATACACCTGATGAAGGTTGGAGGGCATAGCAGCTGGAATGTTGTGATAACAACAAAGATGAGGATAATAATCAGAATGTAAATTGTGTAAATAATGGCAACTCCTTACCCCAGAAACTCTTATGTGACCCACATATGCCTATATATCATCATGGCTTGGCTTCGAAAAACGAAGATCACGAGGGAGTCTGTACACGCTGATTGCAGACACATTTGTGACTGATAAGTCCAATGCAGGACAGGCATACACGATCACAGCAGTTGCAGCTGAAAGTCCTGCCTGGACTTGATTGGAAATGGTTGGTAGATGCAAACATCACCCTTTGGCCTGTGCAGTGGAGTTTTTAGGTGAAGAGAAGTATTTGCTGAACTGGCCCCACCCTTAACACCTGAGATTCGCATGACTAGCAAGATGATGACAGGAAGTGTTTCAGGTCATACCCTTCTTTTAACCAATGGCTAGGAAAATAAAAATCATGGGGTCCAAGACTTCCCTATATATATATATATATATATCATCCATATATGTAACAACTAATAGATACAAGTTAAAATAACTTAAAAATTTAATTATATGAACACATATTTACAATAAATACATACATATACAAATATCTTTACACATATACAGTATAACATAAGTTAATCCTACATATAGACATCAGATATTATTTTATGTCTCTAAAGTTTCTAGGAGTTTGTATATCCATTTCAACTGAAGGGTGATTCCAATAATATTTAGACAGTGCTGTTTGATATTTAAAGGATTCATTACTGAAGAAATGTCAATGGTTATAAAAGTGCTGCTTCCAATTCCCAGCAGATATTCCCCTTTTTTTCTGTTCATATTTTCTTTGCTGAAGATCATGGCTTCATACACCACATTTTCTATCATACATATTCCTCAAAGAGAGCATTCAGTTTTTATCCTGAATGATGTATATTTGGCAAACTTAGACAAAGAAAAGGAGGGCCACATCACATTGAAACACTGGTTCCATAATGATTACTGAAGTTAAGCAATGTTGAGTCTGGTCAACCCAGATGGGTAACAAATGTAAGCTTGATGTGATTGGTAAATGGATAATCACTCGAATTGTTAATCATGAGTTTCACTTCCAGTTGGGTTCATTAATAATTCATAAATACTCTGTTAAAGGTATGAATTCAACTTCCCATCCATGGTTTAATTTGTAAGACTTGTGTCACTAAACCATTATTATCTCAAAAAAAAATAAATAAATAAAATAAAAATAAAATAAAATTGTATCAAAAAATGTTTAGATTTCAACATTAAATAACCCATAGATATGCCCAAGAACAAAAAAACAAAGAAAAAGAGTACTGCACTGTTACATATATCATTCTACAGGAAGATGCTGAAGATACCATGAAATGAACATGTGAGCAATGACAAGGTTTTGAAGAAAATGGAAACAAAAGGAAACTTATACTTAACATCAGGACGAGGCAGTTGAAGTTTCAAGGGCATGTAATGAGGAAGGAAAGCTTGTAAAATCTGATATGAATGGCAGAACAGCGTTTGGGAGAAATTGCAGAGTGTCAAACAATGTTTTTTATCATTGACACCATTATTACTTTTAACTATTTCCAACAATGTTTGTTGTTTCAAAATGTTTGTTGAATTTCAAAAAGTGAATTGGAATAAAAATTTAAACATTGATGAAAGTGAATTTGTACAATTTTTTTGTCCAAAACAATAAAGACTATTAGATTTTTATTGGAGTAGGTGACAAACATTATTAATTGCCAATCAATTCAAACTTTATAAAATCATAAATAAGAAGATTTCCTTATTGTTGTTTCATGTGTTTTAATAATTTTTGTAAATGTTTATAAATTTATGAATAAAAAAATTTTCATATTTATTCATAAATTAGTAAATGATAAATATTGCATTGTATTAGTTTTAATTGTGTTACTTTTTAGAATGTTGTAAATATAACATTATTCTGGTAAATAAACAATCTAATAGTGTTTAAAAAATTTTTTTATTATATTTCTATTCATTGCTTTTTAAAAATAATAAACATTGCTGAGGAGTGAAAATAGCAGCATCAATGGAAAAAACATTTGACACTCCATTATTTATGGGCACGAAGGTCCAAGATATATTTTTACATGAGTACACATGCACACACATAACCTCAAAACCTAAGCATACTATAAGAACCAATATGACTATCTAATTTTCTAATGTCACAATCTAATTTTTTTAATGTGAATATCTAAATTTCCATTGGCCTAATTTTCCTATTTTTGTCATTTGTAATTTAGAATAATCATTGTGGAAGTTTTAGGTGAAGAGAAGTATTTGCTGAACTGGCCCCACCCTTAACACCTGAGATTCGAGATGTCATGACCTAGCAAGCTGGGATGATGACAGTGAAGTTTTCAGGTCATAGTTTTTACAGTGTATCCTTCTTTTAACCAATGGCTAGGAAAAATAAAAATCATGGGGTCCAAGACTCTCATCCCTATATATATATATATATATAGTCATCCATATATGTAACAACTAATAGATACAAGTTAAAATAACTTAAAAATTTAATTATATGAACACATATTTACACAAATACATACATATACAAATATCTTTACACATATACAGTATAACATAAGCAATTAATCCTACATATAGACATCAGATATTATTTTATGTCTCTAAAGTTTCTAGGAGTTTGAGCCTTGGAGATAATTATCCATTTCAACTGAAGGGTGATTCCAATAATATTTAGACAGTGCTGTTTGATATTTAAGGGATTCATTACTGAAGAAATGTCAATGGTTATAAAAGTGCTGCTTCCAATTCCCAGCAGATATTCCGATATAAACCTTTTTCTGGTTCATATTTTCTTTGCTGAAGATCATGGCTTCATACACCACATTTTCTATCATACATATTCCTCCCGCAGAGCATTCAGTTTTTATCCTGCAATTAGATGTATATTTGGCAAACTTAGACAAAGAAAAGAGAGCTTATGGCCACATCACATTGAAACACTGGTTCCCATACGATTACTGAAGTTAAGCAATGTTGAGTCTGGTCAGTACCCAGATGGGTAACTGCTTGGGAATATTAGGTGATGTAAGCTTGGATGTGTGGGTTGGTAAATGGATAATAACTCGGAATTGTTAATCAGAGAGCTGAGTTTCACTTCCAGTTGGGTTCATTATATTCACTTATTCGCAAATACTCTTGTTAAAGGTATGAATTCACCTATTCTTCCCCCATCCATGGTTTAATTTGTAAGACTTGTGTCACTAAACCATTATTATCTCAAAAAAAAAATAAATAAATAAAATAAAAATAAAATAAAATTGTGTACAAAAAATGTTTAGATTTCAACATTAAATAACCCATAGAGGATGATATGCTGCTAAACAAGAACAAAAAAAACAAAGAAAAGAGTACTGCACTGTTACGTTATATCTGTAGTTCTACAGGAAGATGCTGAAGATACCATGAAATGAACATGTGAGCAATGACAAGGTTTTGAAGAAAATGGAAACAAAAAGGAAACTTATACTTAACATCAGGACGAGGCAGTTGAAGTTTCAAGGGCATGTAATGAGGAAGGAAAGCTTGTAAAATCTGATATGAATGGCAGAACAGCGTTTGGGAGAAATAGGAAAAAGACAAAATTTATTAAGAGCTACAAGGGACAGGAAGATGTGGAGGGCCATGACCAACTATGTCCTGAGGGGACACGACACATAATAGAGCTTTGCCTGCAGAGTGTCAAAACAATGTTTTTTATCATTGACACCATTATTACTTTAACTATTTCACTCCATCAACAATGTTTGTTGTTTCAAAAAGTGAAGCTTAGAATTGGAATAAAACTTAAACATATGATGAAAGTGAATTTGTACACTTTTCTTTGTTCTTGAGAATTGACAACAAAAATAATAAAGACTATTAGATTTTTTATTGGAGTAGGTGACAAAACATTGGTTAATTGCCAATCAATTCAAACTTTATAAAATCATAAATATTAAGAATTTCCTTATTGTTGGTTCATGTGTTTTAATAATTTTGTAAATGTTTATAAATTTATGAATAAAAATTTTCATATTTATTTCTTTATAAATTAGTAAATGATAAATATTGCATTGTATTAGTTTTAATTGTGTTACTTTTTAGAATGTTGTAAATATAACATTATTCTGGTAAATAAACAATCTAATAGTGTTTAAAAAATTTTTTTATTATATTTCTATTCATTGCTTTTTAAAATAATAAACATTGCTGAGGAGTGAAGGTACTTAAAATAATAGCAGCATCAATGGAAAAAACATCTTTTGACACTCCATTATTTATGGGTACGAAGGTCCAAGTTTGCCATATATTTTTACATATGAGTATACACACATACACATGCACACACATAACCTCAAAACCTAAGCATACTATAAGAACTAATATGACTATCTAATTTTCTAATGTCACAATCTAATTTTTTAATGTGAATATCTAAATTTCCATTGTGACAATCTAATTTTCCTATTTTTTGTCATTTGTAATTTTAGAATAATCATTGCAAAAATAGCCCAAGTAATAAAGTAATAATTTTTTGTGTATCTGTCTATATTTCTGAGATGAGGTATTGTAATTATTTACACTATTTACATTGTTCGAACTGTTGTCCTCATCTTTGTTGCCATATTTATGATATTTCGACTGTTGTAGGCCCTGGCCTTCTTCAGGCGATTAGATTTTTTTAACTAAACCCTTTATTTCACACACTGGTACATGGCCCAGTGGATAAAAGCATTGGTTGGATCCAGTGACTCGACCCAAAGACTTGGCTACTGAACAAAAACTTGAGGAATTGCGTTAAAGGGAGATAACTGAGACATACAGAAGAGGCGTGGCATGTGGAACTAGAACAATCTACCCTGGTGGATGAAATAAAAGGTTCAGTTTGAAATTCCAATCACCTGACGAAGGCAGGAGCATACAACATCTGAAATGTTGGGAATATGGCAACAAAGATAAGGACAACAGTCTGAACAATGTAAATAATTTTTTGAGTGTTGTCATATTTTCTTTGTTGAAGGAGAAAGAAAACACAATATTTTAAAATTCAAATCCGATTAATGGATGAAACTATTTTTCTGTTATCATTTAGAAAGGTAAAGGCTAATCACCCATACACCAAATTACATCCTAGCACCTTCTATATGTCAAGTAAGGTTTATTAGTCTTTTGAGGCCTCAATGTAACCTGTAGATTGTTGTGTGCAAGCATTTTTGTATCGGTGTAGTTACTGTCGACGATGAAGGAAAGTACTTAAGCAAAGTAGATTGTGAGGAAAAGACTGATGCCAGCAAGTATTATGGACAGAATGTTTGAAGACCATTTCCATTTGGGATCCTCCTCAATAGATCGTGGTTCTTGCAAATTGGTTATGGTCGTCGGCTGGTAAGTTTTATCAAAGCCACAAATTTTGTACAGGAATTTTTTTCCACATGATGGTGGGGAAGACCCTATGAAAAGAAAAAGAACACATTTTAATCTAGCAAGGCAAAGAAGAAAAATTTAAACATGAGTAAATTAAATGTTTTAATAAGACTATATTTATAAAAATGACAGCAATATGCTATAGATATGATATATTATATAGACAGGATATAAATATTATTTAGGATATGCTAAATATCTGACCAGAAATATTCGAATAAAGTATGTAAGATGGAATACATGAAAATCAAATGAATGCTTAAATTTTTATTGTTTCTAACATTTTGATCAGTGAGAACATCAGAACTGAAAAAATAAATATCATATACATATCAAAGAGAAAAATATAACAAAAATGAATATATATATATATATATATATATATAATAAAAAGAAAGAACAGTAAGATATATAATCTGGTGTTCTTATTGATATTTTTATTTTTACAAAATAGTGCTCAATGTAAATTTACAGAGCATTAATATTATAAATTAACTAGTTTAAAATATGTTTTTTTTCACTACACAGTAATGACCATGTTTCAAAAATAAAGCTTCAAATTTAATTTTGTAATTAAATTAAAAACATTAGTTCCATTTCATCCTCAAGCGAATTTTGGAGTAACTTATTTTTTTAAATTTAATGAGTTTTAAAGGCACAGAAAATTCATAATTCAACTGTTTCCAAGGATACAGAGAGATCCAATCATTCAGACAAGGAGTGGTAGCATGTTCATTTTATTAACTTTTGTTGTATCAGTTATTAGTTACGTTCAAAAAAAAAAAAAAAAAAAAAAAAAAATATATATATATATATATATATATATATATATGGAATTTTTAAAGCATTCTGAATGTAAAAATAAAGAAAAAGTGTGCAAGAGAATAAGAAACACTACATGCCAAAAAAAAAAAGTTGAAAAATGTAGGTAGACTTTCTGTAATCTTTTAGTTTTACAATTTATGATTTTTACTTATTGAATACAGTAAAAAAAATTGCATATTTTGCTTGTGGTGATTCATAATTAGAATTCTGATTTGAATATATTTTCCACTCGTTGTTTCTAATACAAAAAATATTAACTTTATTTGGGTTTATTAATTATGATCTAACAAATCTTATTCATTTAGTAGCCTTTCTGTAATAATAATCTTTTACAATTTATGATTTTTACTTATTGAATACAGTAAAATTGGACACCATGTGTATTTAAAGTAGTTTCCCGTTCCGGTTATTATTTTTAGTTAGGACTTGTGTATGTTTAGATTTTATTATCTTTCCCTAAAGATAAAGAATTTATCCAATGTTTGTATTCGTACAATCAGTAGAGATCGTTAGATTATTGTTTAAGGTAGACGGACACGCATGGCTTAATTAGTTTTTTATTTTTTATGAATTGGTCAAACCCAAACTCAAACAAAAACATTGTTTTCAATCGTTATGAGTCTCCCGATTGAATAGAATTTTATTATAAATAATTGTCTTGTAAATGGAATTTTTAAAGCATTCTGAATGTTAAAATAAAGAAAAAAAGTGTGCAAGAGAATAAGAAACACTACCTGCCAAAAAAAAAAAAAAAAGTTTTGTTTTTTCGACTGAAAAATATAGGAAATCCGCTCCCATATTTAAAGGAACCCACACACACAAACAACCCGATGTGAGTTGTCCACCTTCCATTTTCACGATGTCTCTTAATCGTGTTTTCAAATTGTTTTGTGCAAAAACAATTATATTTTTCCATTTTTGGCACTGTTAGAACCACCACAAGGTAATTTTATGTAGTCCTGTGAAGTTTTGTTGAAATTGGTTGAAAAATGTAGGAAATCCAATCCAATATATAAACGTTACAGACACACACAGACACACACACACACAATCTGCGTTTTATAATAAGTAAGATACTCACACACACAGGCCAGAAAGAAAACAACAGGAGAGGAAGAGAGAGAGAAATGTAGATGGAGAGAAAAATAAAAAGAGAGAAATGTAGATGGAGAGAGAGAGAAATAAAAAGAGAGAAATGTAGATGGAGAGAGAGAGAAATAAAAAGCAGACAGCCTGTATTCTAACATTTCACAGAAATTGCTGAAACAAAATGACTTTTCTTTTTACATTATCATTAATTGCTATATTAAAAAAATATGCATAGATTACATCCTGAAAATTAATATAAAATTATGGCCTATTAAGCAACTATCAGGCCATGTTGTATTGCTAAATAATTAGTTTCTTAGTGCTGAATTATTTCCCATGTTATTTCTCTACATCAATGTATGAAAAACACTCTTAAAGTAATGCCTCATATTTATTTCCATGGAAACAATAAGATACAGAGAGCACAATAGCACTATTGGATTGAGCAAGTTTGTTTTTAGCTATGAAACATTATTTTTCCACATACTCACCACCATAGTGAATCAAAGTGATATTTATTTCATGAACTGAACATTGTGCAGAGTTGACAGGAATGTGGCTTGTCACACATCACTGTTGAAACATTACCCACCACTTAACTATTTGGTCTCCATCCACAAAAACATTGCTTTGTATACACTGTTCTCAGAAGCTATTTTTGCCAGACTTCCGCTATCTGTAACAAGGCAAAAAAATGGGGTTGTTGGTGGGACTGCAGTGTCCACTTCTGATATTGTGGCAGGTGCTAAATCTTATGCCATGAAAGTATTGATCCCATGAGAGCCGCTTTGTCTCTACAGCTAACATGATCTTAGCAGAGCTTTGGGACATCCTCCATGTTGATCTGCTGGAACTCTTAGCAGACAAAGTTCTTCCAGCATCTGCACGTGGACTTCCTCAGTTTGCAGGTCAAACTGGTAGATGACTCTAATTGGGTGGTCATCAGGTCATTGCATGACATAACCGAGCCAGCAAATACAGTGTTGAGCAATGGTGTGGAGGATGCTCAGCTGGCTGGTCTTCTGGTGGAAATCATCAGAACAGACCAATGCGCTCACTTGATAGTAATGAGGGGATAGGATTCAAAGCCATGGACACAGAAAGTGAAGTGATGTTGTGGCTCAACAATAAAATAGGAGACATTATTTCAGAGCAACTCTCACACAACTGTAATCTTAATGCTTAATAAAACTTCTGAATGCTCTGTGTAAAAAGCATTTAATATACATTAGGACCTTGTTATGAACTGGTAATAACAAATCATATTTAAGGTATGTTCAAAATTTTTATTAATACACTGTACATTTGATGAGAGATGCAGAAAAAGTCATGTATAATCTAGATGTGAAGTATATGACCACGACCACAACCACAACAATCTTGACATTCTTGCTGTAGTTTCCATGTTAAGTTTGTTTTTCCACAGAATGGAGTTGCTAGGCTAATGACCATTCAGTTTGAATTCAGAGTTGTCCTTCTCCTAGACTGGTTTCCAACCTAGGCTGAAGTGCCCAGTCTACTATACTATTAACCCAGTCATACAAAATAATAATCTATTCAAAACAGTAACAAAGAGAATGAATCTTCAGCACAATGTAAACTGACATAGATATTGCCATACCTGCATGTACTTAAACTGGAAATAAACATGACATCATTTCACCTGTCTCATTGTATGTTGACACAAATAACTTTGCTTTTTCAATTGTTACTTATATTGTTGTTGTTGTGAATCTTGTGTTCTTATAGTGAAGTGACCCACTTTAATCAATGATGCAGCCCTCCATGAAAAAAGTTTTGCATTTTCTATAAATGAATATAGTATATATTTTCCTGCATTCCTTTCAAGATAATAAAGGATTCATAGGCATGATTCTTAAAGTTATCAGCAAATATATAAAAAATTTTTTTAAAGTTTAATGTTATAACTTTGGTATCCTGTAGCATGGAAGCAAGAATTGATAATGTTTTATCAAATCTATCATCAAATAATGCAAGTTTTATCGGAGCATCTACTGATCTACAAAACAATTAGCGCCAATATGTTTATTATTCTGATTACAGATTTGAATGATAATACCAACCTGCAGCAACAGCTACTGTATAGATGACATCTTCACATTGGCTGAATGCTTGCTTCGGAAGGGCATAATTTACATGCTCTGAAGCAGAAACTTGGTCTGAGATATCGGCTCTGTTTTTTGCTGGTTCATGGGAAGTTTTTGATTTTGATTCCAATGTTTCTTTAACATCCATTTCCAACAGATCATTCTTCTTCTCTTTATCTTTCTGACACACTACAGAGGGTGCAGTGCTTGTTGCCTTGCTAGGGGCCATATCGTCTATGTCAAGGCGTGGTTCCTTACTATTACGCGTCCACCAAGTTAATCTCACCAACTGTAAAAAAAAAAAAAAAAAAAAATTATTCATATTTATATCACATATATAAATTATAATTATCTGTTGGATGATCTAACATAAGTCCAATCAGTTTCTGAGTAATTTAACTAAGTATAAACTGACAATTTCATGTCAGGCTTAGGCCTGCTATTGGTAACATGTAACCCAGGCTTAGGCCTGCTACTGGTAAAATGTAACCCAGGCTTAGGCCTGCTACTGGTAAAATGTAAACCAGTACAATCTGCCACATGCATGGGTAGGTGATATCCCTCTAAAACAGCTCCCCTTACTAGCTTTTCTACTGATGAGGAGGGTGGCATGTCATCACACAGGATGAAAAATAAAACCTTTTGAAGAGTAGATGAGCTTCTTATAGGAGCCAACATCTAACATATATATGTGGGTTTGTTTAAAATTATCTGCACTTTTGCCATAACATATCTTTAGTGTGGATAATTTTTTTTACTTTCCCTTGTAAACATATATATATACACACACACATATATATATATATATATATATATATATATATATATATGAAGAAATATAGTTTTAAAGTGTGCTATATTTAAGGGATAAAGTGCTCAATATCAAAGATAGAGAGTATGTAAATATAAATATAAAAGTGAACATCAAAGTCAACGCTTTGAGGCGACAGGCTGTTTCATGCTAGATGCAATCGTCAGGCCTGACGAATGATTGCGTGTTGACTTCAGTGTTCAGATATATATATATATATATATATATATATATATAAAAGTTATGAAGAACTTGGTAATCCGTATGGGTAATCCCAAGGAGGATGAAATCCTGAGAGCTCAATGTAAATCCAGAGCTAATATTTAAAAGAAAAACAGACCATTTTAAGGTACCATTATAATAATTTATTTCACCAGAGTCCTTTTAAAGCACGCCGGATCATCAGATAGCAGTTCCAAAAATGAAATGAAACGAAAAATGAAATTAAAATTGATGGGTAGTGTAAGATTTTGTAATTTAACAGAGAGTGTAAAAGGGATAGTTAAAGAGACATGATAGAGTATAGGGAGGGATTAATTTCATATCTCTCTCAAATATACTTTTTATTGGGGAAGGAGGAGTGACCAGACCTTGACCTATTTAGACGGTTAACTTAATGGAAGTGATATATTGATATGAGAGGGGAGTAGGGAGAAATTCAGATGTCTAAAAAAAAAAAAAAAAATTAATTTGATGTTTTCTATCAATTTAAATATATATATATATATATTGCTATCAATTTAAATATATATATATATATATATATATATATTATATATATATATTGCTATATATATATATATATATATATATATATATATATATATATATATATATATATTGTTATCAATTTAATATATATATATATATATATATATATATATATATATATATATATATATATATAATTTATATATATATATATATATATATATATATATATATATATATATATATATATATATATATATATATATATATATATATATATATATATATATATATATATATATATATATATATATATATATATATATTGCATCAATTATATATATATATATATATATATATATATATATATATATATATATATAAATGAGGCTAGGAGGGTTTTCAAACCTTGACATGCAACCTTCTAGGTCAAAAAAAAAAGCTGAGATAGATTTGAATCCATTCTAAGAGTGATACAAATAAATATGATCCTGAGTGCTCCATACTTTTGCCCTTGTGCCACATCTAAGCTACAATTAGTAAATTGCTATCTTTCAGAGACATTTTGATATGGTAAAGTGGTTAGCAAGCTTGTCTAGATCTGCTTATCTCATTAGATTAATTATGACTGAGTAATGAGTTTGATCCTCACTGGGTGCTTCCTTAGTAAATCGCTTTCTTTCATGGGTACTTTGACATGGTGGAATGATTTGCGAGATCAAGTGCAAGTGAGTAGCGAGTTCGATTCTCACTGGGTGCTCCATATTTTTGGCTTTGTGTCACATATAAGCTATGCTTAGTAAATCGCTATAATAGACATGCGAATCCATCCCAAATCTTTGTCAAAAAAACCAAGTCATGACAAGTAGCTAACAAATATGATGTTTTCTTCTCATGTGAAGTATCTTAAAGTCAAAAGAAATATGGTACTGGTAACAATAAAAATGGTTTATTAAGTTTATTAAATAATCCTAATGACAAACTGTTCAGTCAATCCAGTATATTTAAGATGACTTCAACATTATTTTTTTCTTGGATTTGAGGCCAAAGTGACAATAAATTCAGAAGTTTATACTTATGAACACTGCAAATATATTTGGCATAACAACAATCTAAACACACTGGTGGGTCACCATAACACATTTGACTACAGTTTTGATCTAAAAAAAAAAAAAAAAAAAAAAAAAAAATGCCAGTCTGATCAGGAGAGAACAGAATTCATTGAGAAGGAAATTCTTTGGGTGTATTAATCTCACAGTTCTTCACAATTGAAAACATATATAGATAATGAACCCTTGAGAAAAAGAAAATCAGAGATTAAATGTAAAATAGAGAGATTATGGAACCCTAGTTTGTTCAATGGTATGGTAATGGCAGACTAGATTATAAGACTAAATTGCATTAATAAGTCATTTAAGTTTACCATTTTACACATGAGATGAAACATTAAAATGCATTATATTGCCAAATTTTAATTAAAATCCATTTGAAAGTTTAATTCAATATATATTTTTTAATCATTTCAGCACCAAAGCAAGGCAGAAATGCAACTAGTACACAGGGGATTACAGGGAGTGAAAGTAAGAGAACAGACTGAGTATAGGAAGTATGGAGGAAAGGACAAAAGATGAAAGGGGTTCAAGAAGATAAAAGATGGTGACTGACATTTCATTTAAATTTTTGAAAATTGTAGTTATAAAGGGGAACAAGCAAATGAACTGGAGTTCCACAAAAAAGAATGTTTGAGTAGAAGTGGTCATTGCATTTAATTGTTCAAACAATAAAAGGGTGGGACCTAGATGCCAATCTAGTAGCACACTTAAATTCATATAGTCAGGGCAGCAGGGAAAAAAGCTTGTTGGAGCAGTTGCCATGAAAATATTTGTTGAAAAGACAAAGGGAAGCCATGTCACGTTGGTGAGAAAGTGACTGAAGTTGAGATACCAAGTCAAGATCAATTACATTACATATCCTTCATTGGATTTTGTCAAGGACCTTTAGATGAATGAATAGCAAGAGCACCTGACCAGATATGGCAACAGTATCCAATGCACGGATGAAAAGAAGATTTTTAAATGTCAAAGATGGAGTCTGACAAGAAAAGTTTTCTGGCACAACACAGAGACACTATTTTCCTTGCAGTAGATGCAGCTATTGATTCGATGTTAAGAGAAAATTGGTTGGTAGCCAAGCTGAAGGATACTTACACATCTGTGATCAATTGGTTCAGTCAGCAAACTGATGACGACAGCGATGAAAGTTGTCAACAAAAACAGAAAACAGGAAAAGTAAAGAAAATGAAAATTCTTTACAATGTCTGGTCTGGGATCTGGCATATTTTCTGAACAGCTTGGAATCTTCTGATAGTACTCAACCCCAAAGCGAATCATTCCAGCAGCAATGCCAATTAAAACAGACCAGAAAGCTCCCTGTATTTAAAAGAAGACAAAAAAATGTGAATTGTAAAATTTCACAGATGTTTGATAATTATTACGAATTGATTTCAATAATGAATATGCTATTAAAACACGTAAATTTCAGAAATAAGTTATTCAAAAAAAAATTTCGCTTGAAGATGGAACAGAGCTTACTTTAATTCAAATAATTATGTTGAAGTTTTCGGCTCTTGTTTTGAAACATGAGAACTCTTATGTAGCATGCTGAATCATATTTTTAACTTAAATAATATATATATATATATATATATATATATATATATATATATATATATATATATATATATATATTACCAAATTGTAATTGGTAGGAATTATTCCAAAGAGGACTTTTAGTTCATATGAGAGCTCAATGTATGATACAGAGCAAATTATAATAATAATAACAATTAAGAAAAAACCTGAAAATCCATATTCAGTAATAAATTTATTTTGATGAATATAGGTATATTCATCTCATCAGTCCAACTACATTTTCTGAAATGGAATCATCTGGTCTAATGAGATGAATATATCCATATTCATCAAAATAAATTTATAATAAATCCATTAATTCTTTAGAAATCACTTTGCTGACATTTCATTATTGAAACTGGGCAGATATGGGCTCTTGAGAAAAATAATCTTAGTGAAGTGGATGTACTTTCCTTAAATAGGGTAAAAAGAGCCTTGATTGCTGTGAAGTCCTTTGTGGCCAGAATATATTTTAGAGCATTTCCATTTTTCAGAATTTTAGATGCACTTATACATATCAATAATAGATTATAAATTAATTTTGATATTCAATTTAACTGGTCATTTTACTGTGCTGAATGTTGACAGAAAAGTACTCTACTAACAAAGAGATAAATATAAGTAAATCGAGTAAAACTGGCAAATATTAAATCATAAAATTTAAAATGGATATTGCTGTTAGGATACAAAAGGTGATTATCTTCCTTTGGTGAAGATAAGTCACATGGGTCACATGATGGCCACTTAGTGACATCACTTCATACAGTGACAAGAGTAGCCAGTCATCCAGTTTGTTTACAGCAGTCAAAGCAAGTGGTTGCTTTTTTAGTCTAGGCCAAGGAGCCTAGGCTGAAACTAAATCTGCCTCCTCCAGCAAAAGTTACAGTTTATAAGTCCATGATGCCATTTCCTTTTGGGAATATATCTTCCCCAAATACAGAAAGAAATTCCAGCTTGCAGTCCTCCATTTGAGAAACCCAAAACTCTTTTCACCTTCATAGAATATGTCCTCACCTGGGACATAGTAGGTAAATCCAATCCATTTTAATCTGGAGTCTTAAATATGACTTCTCCAGAAACACAGAATAATCTCCATATTATATGTAAAAGCCTTCCTTTTTGCTTCTCCTTACACACTGCTTGCTGTGTAGATATATAGTTTTCCACATGATATATATATATATATTAGTAATAATACGATATGGTAATCTGTATGGAATTCCCAAGAAGATATAGATCCAGGGAGATTATTATTATTATTATTAACAAAAATCAAACACTTAAAATCCCATAGGTAATAATTTTTATTTCATGAGGGCTCTAAAAAAGCAGCTCTCAATCTTCAAGACCAAAGATTTTGTTTGTCTTGAAAATTGAGAGCTGCTTTTTTAGACCTCTCATGAAATAAAAATTATTACCTATGGGGTTTTAAGTGTTTGATATTCTTTTAATTAATAATATATATATATATATATATATATATATATAAAAAAAAGGCTTAAACACTAGCACTCCATGGTCATAATTTACTAGTACTAAGGTTTAAGCCTTTTTTATTATATCCTTACTCTGTCCTGGACATTGAGTTCTACCTGGATTCTATCCTCTTGGAATATATATATATATATATATATATATATATATATATATATGTATGTATGTATATATATTTCTGTGTTTTAGATATATGTACATATATGTATGTGTATATAACCACTACCATATATATATATATATATATATATATATATATATATATATATATATATATATATAGTTTTGTGTATATCTTAGTGGTATAAAAGTATCTGAGAATAAAGCATATTTGTCATTCCTTTTTCTCTCAGCCATTCTGTTCCATCTGTGAATTACAGTATTATTATATCATGGATATAATAATGACTATAATGGGGGAGGGGAACACAAATGGGAGAATAAATCTTTCTTCCATCACTCTCTCATGTTATACTGCTTTTTGCTGCCTTTAAATCCAATGTAAGATGGTTTCAATATTCGGTTATCATGACATTTTTTATTTCATTTTGAAATGAGGAATTGTCAACATATTTTAATGCATTTTACCTACTATTTTGATCATGATAGATGTTACTATCGACATAATGTTCAAGCCAAGTACCTTTTGGTTACCTTCAGGTGTCCACTTTTTGATTGATATGAGACACCTGTTGATTACTGTCAGCTTTTGTATGTCCTTGCTGAACTTGTGTATACGGTTTCACTATCTATTGACAATTCCACATCTCAAAAATATAAAAAAAATTATGAAAAGCAAAACAAACTCACCATGATAACCAAATGTCAAAGCCATCTGACATTGACATTGGATTTAAAAGTGTAAAAAGCAATAAAAAAAAAAAAAAACTCCACTAATGTGATTGCCTTCAGAATAATGAATACATGTGTTGCTGCCATCTAGTGGTCATGAATTCAATCCTTGGATCAGGCAGATATGGAAACACTATCACTAATTTGACAGGAATGAACAAGAACTGGTTTCACAGGGAGAAAATGATACAATAATCAACAGACATTCCATATCACCCAAAACAGTGGGAACCTGAAGATGGTGAGACGGTATTTGACCAAAATATTGTGATTATAATAACCTTTATAAAAAACTAGATGAGAACAATAATTGAATAAATCAAAGTACAGGGTGTCCAAAAAAAATTGACATAATTTAAAATGTGAATATCTGAGTCCCAGGCAAACGAAATTAAATAGACTTCATGTTGAACAATAAAAGATTTATTTACTAAAATTCAAACAAGATATTCAAAAGGATGTAGATTTTATAACAGATTCCATAAAGATTCACAAATGTTCAATATATGCACCACCTGTGACATGTCACATGTCAAATCAGTAGTCCAGCTTCTGCCAAACACACAACATATTTTGCATAACATTCTCCAGCAGCTCAGTTATTCTCTGCTTAAATTTCTCTAGGCTTGTAAGAAGAGGGGGGTATATAAACCTGTCTTTTCCCATAACCCCATAGAAAAACAGCACAAGATCAGATGAATGTGGTGGCCATTTCAACAGCACATTGTCATTATTACTGGCATGACTGATCTTTCTTCCAGGTAGATTCTCATTGAGATTAGTTTGCACTATTGAGTAAGTTGTATTAAAAGTAGATAAAAATCAAGATGAAAAATATTAGTCAAAAAGGGATAATAATACTTTAGGCTTACTAAAAATAACAAAAGCCCTATATTCTGTTGTCCTAAAATAACTAACGAACTGAAATATGATGATGTTTAATAGTTAACAATAGGGAATTTTGACTCAAGCTATTAATGCCCACCTGGAATTTATTGGGAAGACCCTGAGTCTTTCCTTTGTGCTCTGTCCTATCACCACATATCAATGACTTCTCACTGGCATACCATGATGATTGACAGAAATCAGATGAGTGATCACCTGGGAAAAGCCACTAATTAATAACTACCTTATTTGTCCAGGTAGTAACTGGAGAAAGCTGTTAATCACATAGTCTATCTTGAAAGACCACGATGATGGCAAGACAGATTTTGAACAGCTCATTGCAAAAAAAAAAAAAAAAAAAAAAAGTATTAAATAATATAGAGTGACTTACCTTTTCATTAAGTCTCTCCCAAAACAGTGCCAGTAAAAATATGGCACAGATAGGGGGTTGGGTGAAGCTGGAGATGACTTGGATATAGATGAAGAGGTCACCTCCTTGTGAAGCTTGGATGATTGGGATCCACACAACACTGATAATCACCAGAATTAGAATGAAGATCCTGCAACAAGGACAAATCAGATTTCAGTGAGAAATGTCATTTTAATTGAAAAGGAAAAAATTAATTTAATTCAATAGAAAAATGAATCTGTTAAAATGAAGAAAGCTTTATATATGGCCAACAATACAAACAGGTCATAAAGGCATATACATTTACGTGAATGAAGAAAAGGGTATCTCATAAGAAAATAAACGATTTTTTGCAAAATAATACTAAACACTCCATCAATATTTTTTGAATTCATTTTCCACCAGAAAATTTAATCGAGTTTTAAATGAAAAAGCTGATTTCTGGACTCTTATTGTCCATCTTTTAATTCCACCCATTACTTAAGTTAGATTAAGCACTTTAATGTGGTATAATGATTAACAAACTTGTCTTGCTAGATAAATTAGGACTGATTAGTAAGTTCAATCCTCACTGGATGCCCCATACTTTTGGCCTTGTGCCACATCTAAATTATGCTTAGAAAATCACAACCCGACACTTCGAAGTAGTGTAATGACTAGTAAGGTTGTCCCATTTGATCAATTACAACTGAATAGTGAGTTTGATCCTCACATGAGTGCCCCATCTTTTGGGCCTTGTGCCACATCTAAATTATGCTTAGAAAATCACCACCAGACACTTCGAAGTAGTGTAATGACTAGCAAGGTGTCCCATTTGATCAATACAACTGAATAGTGAGTTTGATCCTCACATGGGTGCCCCATGTTTTTTGGCCTTGTACCACATCTAAATTATGCTTAGAAAATCACCACCAGACACTTCAAGTAGTGTAATGACTAGCAAGGTTGTCCCATTTGATCAATACAACTGAATAGTGAGTTTGATCCTCCATGGGTGCCCCATGTTTTGGCCTTGTACCACATCTAAATTATGCTTAGAAAATCACCACCAGACACTTGAAGTAGTGTAATGACTAGCAAGGTTGTCCCATTTGATCAATTACAACTGAATAGTGAGTTTGATCTCACATGGGTGCCCCCATCTTTTGGCCATGTACCACATCTAAATTATGCTTAGAAAATCACCACCAGACACTTCGAAGTAGTGTAATGACTAGCAAGGTTGTCCCATTTGATCAATACAACTGAATAGTGAGTTTGATCTTCACATGGGTGCCCCATGTTTTTGGCCTTGTACCACATCTAAATTATGCTTAGAAAATCACCACCAGACACTTCGAAGTAGTGTAATGACTAGCAAGGTTGTCCCATTTGATCAATACAACTGAATAGTGAGTTTGATCCTCACATGGGTGCCCCATGTTTTTGGCCTTGTACCACATCTAAATTATGCTTAGAAAATCACCACCAGACACTTCGAAGTAGTGTAATGACTAGCAAGGTTGTCCCATTTGATCAATTACAACTGAATAGTGAGTTTGATCCTCACATGGGTGCCCCATCTTTTTGGCCATGTACCACATCTAAATTATGCTTAGAAAATCACCACCAGACACTTCGAAGTAGTGTAATGACTAGCAAGGTTGTCCCATTTGATCAATACAACTGAATAGTGAGTTTGATCCTCACATGGGTACCCCATCTTTTTGGCCATGTACCACATCTAAATTATGCTTAGAAAATCACCACCAGACACTTCAAGTAGTGTAAATGACTAGCAAGGTTGTCCCATTTGATCAATTACAACTGAATAGTGAGTTAGATCCTCACATGGGTACCCCATCTTTTTGGCCTTGTACCACATCTAAATTATGCTTAGAAAATCACCACCAGACACTTCGAAGTAGTGTAATGACTAGCAAGGTTGTCCCATTTGATCAATTACAACTGAATAGTGAGTTTGATCCTCACATGGGTGCCCCATGTTTTTGGCCTTGTACCACATCTAAATTATGCTTAGAAAATCACCACCAGACACTTCGAAGTAGTGTAATGACTAGCAAGGTTGTCCCATTTGATCAATTACAACTGAATAGTGAGTTTGATCCTCACATGGGTACCCCATCTTTTTGGCCTTGTACCACATCTAAATTATGCTTAGAAAATCACCACCAGACACTTCGAAGTAGTGTAATGACTAGCAAGGTTGTCCCATTTGATCAATTACAACTGAATAGTGATTTTGATCCTCACATGGGTGCCCCATCTTTTTGGCCTTGTACCACATCTAAGCTATGCTTAGAAAATCACCACCAGACACTTCGAAGTAGTGTAATGAGTAGCAAGGTTGTCCCATTTGATCAATACAACTGAATAGTGAGTTTTATCCTCACATGGGTGCCCCATCTTTTTGGCCTTGTACCATATCTAAGCTATGCTTAGAAAATCGCCATTACCTAAGTCAGATGCTGTCAAAGGTATTACTGTTCTTTTGGTGAGTTCAGGAGGAGATTTTTTAAGTATATAAAAAAAAAACAAGGTTTTCAAATTATGTATGTCTTTGAGCCATCACACTCCACAAAAAGAAGCAAATGTTTGGCACAGCTTTTGTGAGGTGGACATCTTGTGTCAAAATTATCAGGAAAATGCAAGAGCCTGTACACGAGTGGTTCTCAACCTGGATCCATATATTATGTAACATTACTGGGATCCACACCAAAAAATAGCAAATTGGAACTTAATTACTCATATATTTTAGAATGGTTTATTATGAGTTATTTTACTTGTGTACATAATTGTTCCATAGAATTTAGTTGTTAAATACAAGTTTATTTTTATTAAATTAGTTTTGCTTCAAAATAAAACATACATTTACTATTCCTATAATACTATTTCTATAATTACAAATAATTCCAATAAGCTTCTTTTTTTTTTTTTCATCAAATGGTTATGGAGGTCCACCAAAAAAAAAAAAAAAAAAAAAAAGCAGTCTATGGATAAAAAAGGTTGAGAACCACTGATGTACATGATTAGAATTGTATCATGAGTCGTATACATGCTCCTTTTAGGACAAAACATTCAGCTGCAAAAAAAAGTTGGTTTCATTATGAGGAACCCTGTACAGGTAAAAAAATGTAATTTTAAAAATGGAATTCATACATTACAAATCTAGCAGCCAACCTAATTTCATTAACATTAAAAAAAAAAAAGATCTTTCTCTGCTTGAAAGGTTATTGAAATGTTCTCTCTCAAATACAGAATCTCATTTGATTATATTTATTTTTTGTGATCAGAATTATTCATTTTACTCCTTTATATGTCAAGTTTTCTATCATTAGAATTATCTGTTTGTTGTCATTAACTTTAGCTCAGCAAGTTTGGCTTAAAGCCTTAATGTTTTCCAAGGTCTGTATAGCACCAATCTTGCTAGAGTGGGCCAGCCTACCAAAATGCATTGCATTCAGATTTTACTCTTAATCTGAACATAAATACCAATGTTGATACTAAATGAGTATTAGTACACGTATAAAAGAGCACAGTGTACTTTAACTAGGGCATTTACATATCAGAAATGAAAAAGATTTAATTCAAAGATAAGCACATTTTTTTAGTCTATTGGTCTACTAAAAATATGAACACAATGTGTAACACCTATTAATAACTATAAACAATTACACAAGCAAGTACACACCTAGCAAACAAAAACAAATGATTAGAAATTATATCACATCATTAAAATATTCTCACCTGCCTACAATGAGCACTTCAACTTCTGTTGCCTTCTTGCGGAAGAACATCCATATGTCGAGAGCAAAGATCGTACTTGAGCTATTAAATATGGATGTGAGGGAGGTAATCAAAGCAGAGACCATGGCTGCCAGCATCAGACCTCGGGCACCTGCCAGATAGTACAGACATTTACATTGGGCTTTATAGATTTGGGACCTCTCTGGTCTCATCCCCAATAAACTGTAACATCACTTGAACTCATAACTCAATATCTCTGGATTTGTTATTTCAATCACATCTCCTATTGTTATTAGATGTTGTTCTTATTTTTGTTGTCAAGTTTGCTGATTTCTACTAATTTAGAACATGGAGATTTAAGGAGTAGGTGTTTATATATTTGGCTGTGTTCTTTCTAAATATATGCAGGGATTCTTAACTGTAGATCATGCAACATTATAGGCTAACAGAAAAACAATCCATTGAATCATTTGGGGGTTTAATGATCAATAATGTATTGATCAAATATAAAGATATAAAATGACTTCCTTGATCTACCTGTAACAGGATGGTCTGTAACTGTTGGGCTGAATGAATGAAAACAAAGAATTTTGGCATTTATACAATAAAATTTGACCCAAATACACACATTTCAATCTGACAAAAAAACTATAAGCAGAAAAAAAAAAAGTGGTTCAGGCCAAGAAATTTTCAATCTTTTAATGAAACATTCTTACAATTCTTGCTTGTTTTTGGTCAGTCATATATATATATATATATATATATAAGTCTGACAATTATATATTATTTTTATAGTTACAAATACTCATTAAGATCAACCAATTAGATATGACCTACATTAAATTTAAAATAAGGGAAGAAGCAAAAATTAAGAAATTATTTTTCATAAATGGGTCAAAACCCATAGATTTGAAATCAATGGCAGCAACAGATGTTAAACAGGAGTGGATGTAAATGGATACTTATATACATTATACAATGCCATTTCCTAAAAAAAAAAATGAAGTGTTATTCTAACAAAATGCTAGACAAGTAATATGCTTTGTAAATTTCCTACATAAAAAAAAACAAACAAAAAAACATTTTTATAGTTAATAAATAAATAGCTTCTTTAAGAAACCAGTAAATAATGTAAATGTATAGACTTGGTAAATTAATATGCAACTGTTGACTAAAGATTCTTTATATAATGTGTTAATAACAATAACCAGTCAATGCAAAATGTCAAAATACCAACCAAATTCTAATACATCCGTACAAAATGTTACTAACACTACTAGGAGATTAATACAAAATTATATTAAATCCAAATTAATCTTACATGAGAATAGACAAAAAACTCTGTAACCTTACTGGTGAATTTTGATCTAAGATGTTTTTCACTATATAATGTTTGGTATCTTTATTATTATTAAAGTCTGTGAACATTGCTTGTGTATTTGCCAGAAGACATATATAGAGAGTGGGTGAAAGAAAGATGTAAATTTATTATTGTGTAGAATGCCCTGTTTTTTTGTTTTTTTTTAAAGGTGTTTATTTTGTCTACTGGCCTACACATTCGAGAAAGCTTAATAAAGAAAACACAACCTCCTGCAGGAATAACCATCATCTGATCTGACATGATTTAGACTAATCAGCCATGGAAAGCCTCACAGCCAAATAAATAGAACCTTGTTTAGCTGTGTAACTACAATTATTTCAAACATTACACAGGCTAATAAACATAATGCACACATTTTAAAGTTAAAATAAGAATAAGGCATCTGTTTCAAATATGTGTATCCACTATAATATATACATTTGATTGTTTGTTATTTGTTTAGCGATATATCAACTCCTTATGGGTCATTTAATAGTATGTGATAAATATTCCTCATTGAATTAAGTGTACTGACAAATAATTATGTTGAAAAGTATTTTCTATGCAAAATTGTTTTTCCCCATCATTAACCTATTGACATACTTATGTACCTATATATGAGTGTTTGTTCATATATATATATATATATATATAATAAATGTGAATGTCAGTGTGTTGCTGTGTCATATTTTTTCAAGTTTACTTCTACCATTTTGGAATCAGGCCAACTTTGTAATTGAATTAAAAACATTCCGTGCTGGATCTGGACCTACATTCCAGAAATTTTGGATTCCCAAATTTTCATTACTGTGATTGTTTTTGGCGATTTTTATACGTGATTTTTTTGTGGCAAATTTTTTTGTATAATAACGATTTTTATAACTTGAAAATAAATCTGGGAATAATCAAAATTAGCTGCCAAATCCAGTGAAAGTTGCCCATTTAAACAAGTTCAAATGCTCCTCAAGGAACTGTGTTCCTGATCAAACCAAACTCAAATAATTACATTTGTTTAAGTGTCCTAATGGAGCTATGGTTGGCTAGGTGTAAGTTGTCTAGATATTGTATTAGTGTGACCAATGTAATTATTTATGAGTTTGGTTTAATCAGGAACACAGTTCCTTAAGGGGCATTTGAACTTTTAAATAATGTTGGTTCTTTGTAGTTTTGATTTTGCTGGTGTGTTGTTATTTTTGATAAGGTTAGCTGTTTAAAATGTTTTTGTCATAGAGAATTAATTTAATTTCCTTGTTCAGGTGAACTGGGGTTGTGTATTTCTTTGTTTTTTCTAAAGTAACTAATAGCAATACTGAACATACAGATAAAAAAATAACATTAACATATTCTAGAAAATACATGTCAACTACAAGCAAGACAAATTTTTTCATAGAAATATTGTCTTTAACAAAACATGTATGTGTGTGTGTGTGTATATATATATATATATATATACACACACACACACACACACACACACACATATATATATATATAAACACACACAAGATCTGTCTGAAAAGTAATGGGACTGATGCCACAAACTATTTCAATTCCAAACAATAAACTACATAGTTTCTGCTTCAAAGTAATTCCCCTCGAGGCTAATGCACTTTCCCATCCTTCTCTGACACACTTCTATGCACTGCTAGAAGAATTCTTCTTAAGTGCCTTTCAGCTCTGTCGTTACGGCCTTCTTGATGGCCTCCATGCCTTCAAAATGGGTCACTTTGAGTTTTGGGGGAAAAAAAGTCACAGAGAGCTTGATTAGGTGAATAGAGAGGTTGCTCCAGTATGGCAATGTTCTTCTCGCAGGAACTGGCGAATGCTCAGGATGCTGTGTACAGCTGCATTTTCATGGTGAAGCAGAGTCAATCTGTCCTGCCACCACTTTCATCTCTTCTTGTGTATTGAGCAAAGCAAACACCACAGGATCTCTTTGTCGACTTACTGATTGATTGTCTGGTTCTATGGCAAGAACTCACTGTGGACGATGACTTTTACATTGAAGATCATGATCAGATGCATTACTTTTCAGATAGACCTTATATATATATATATATATATATATATATATATATATATATATTACTTCAAACGTATATTACATCCAACAGCAAGAGCTCTGATTGGGAGGAGTGTGGAACTACCTCCTAATTGATGTTTTTCCCAGGTTTACCCTGACCCGGGGTGGTAGCACCTGTTAGGGTTCCAACTATGGTCAAATAGTTAACCCCCAAACTGGAGTCAAAACACTATGAGAGTATAAAAATACATTTTTATTGTAAAAATTACTACCAATACATTTTTGAAAAGAAAAATTACCAGCAGTACATTTTTGTAAAAGAAATTACTAATGCTCCTAAGAAAATTAAATTTCAGCATTAAATGACCCATAAGGAGTTGATATATTGCTAAACAAATAACAATCAAATGTATATATTATAGTGGATACACATATTTGAAACAGATGCCTCATTCTTATTTTAACTTTAAAATGTGTGTATTATTTTTATTGGCTTGTGTAATGTTTGAAATAATTGTAGTTACACAGCTAAGCAAGGTTCTATTTATTTGGCTGTGAGGCTTTCCATGGCTGATTAGTCTAAATCATGTCAGATCAGATGATGGTTATTCCTGCAGGAGGTTGTGTTTTCTTTATTAAGCTTTCTCGAATGTGTAGGCCAGTAGACAAAATAAACATTGTTTTAAAAAAAAAAAAGAAAAAAAAAAAAAGAAAAAGGGCGGAGGGGCATTCTCCTCAAATACAGGTATCCACTAAAAATAATGTTTCATTTAATGATTTGTTTGCTTAATGGCATATCAACTCAATATGGGTCATTTAATGCCAAAACTTAATTTTCTTAGGTGTTTTTAAGTAATAGAAATATGACATTTGTTATTCAGCTTTCACGATTGAATACATGGTAGTTGATACTCAGATTTTGCGCATATACATGTTTGTGTGGATATGATTACTAGAGGTAGTGATATATGTTGCAGTTTTGTTGAAGTTATATTACAAGTTTGATTTCTTAATGAAATTGTAGGATTTTATGTTGATTAATGTCATGAAAGAGTTCTTTCATGTTGATTGATGTATTGTTGGTAATTTTACTATAAATAAATACTGTTGATAATTTTTTGAATATAAAAATGTATTTTTATGTTTTCATAGAGTTTTTCTTTTGCAAGGAGTAACAGTAATTAACTTTTAGCACTCTGTAGGTAACTATTTTCACTAAGAAAAATATTAGTCCAGCCAATGCAAGTTTCTTGGTTGTGTAGTCATGTCCTTCTATGAGAACACCTAAAACAATCTTGACTGAAATTGAGAGCCAGGCTACTGCAATTTCAAATATATAGAACTAATATATAAAACACTATATTTTGAGGGAATTCTATATAGAGTAAAAAGGGAAGTAATATTTATAAATGATGCAGAGTGCTAAGTGTTAAGAGGTACTTCCACACCACTCAAACCTTCAATCTCCTGATCAGAGGCCTTGCTGATGGCTATAGCTTATCATCATACCCAGGACTAAATAATGTTTGAAGTAATAAAATAGTCAAGATATAGAAAAAGATATTTTTATAAGCATTAATAAGAATGCATATATGAGATACACATTATCATTGAGTGAACTGACCTTCTGGCATTAGATTAATAACAAGTGAAGGGTAGGCAATATTGCTGCAAGCTGGCCCACCACAAATCTCATAGCAAGCATCAGCATCAGCACAGCCGACAGTATCTGGAAATGAAAGACAAAGTAATTAATAAAAATGTTTTTGACAAGAGGAGTTCTAACAACACAGTTTTCAGTGTTACCTGACAATTTCCTTTTTTTTTTCCACCCATCAGTGGTTGAATCAGGTGTGTAAACATGGAAATCTAATTATTTTATGACAAGTCATTTTTCTTTTCTGAGCACCTAAATGCAATTAAAGTGATATCTAAAAACATAATTTATTGTTTATCAGTACAAAATAAGTGACAAACACTCATAGAAAAAATAGTAGACCTAGAAATCACTAACAACTTATATTCAAAGTTGACAATTCAAATAGGGTGATAGGTATTTATTCAGTTTAATTTTGTATGGTACTTGGCATATATATATATATATATATATATATATATATATATATATATATATATATATATATATTAATACATACCAAGCAAGGCAATAAAGCCAGTGAGAAACAAGAGGTTACTGAGTGTTAGAGAAAACAATAAAAAAAAAAAAGAAAGAATTAAGACAGAAGATAACAATTGACATTGCATTTAAATTTTTGAAGATCAAAGTTGACTGGGAAGTAAGAAGCCAAAAGAGAGTACCACAAGTGAGAAGTGCAAGAAAAAAACTGTTAGTGTATTATCATATGCAAATTAGATAGACCAGTATATATAGAGAACAACTGGTGAACATAGGGTAGCTATGCGTAGCAAACCCAGTTGTTTGTTATTCAGGACACAGATAACTGTACTACGACTACTACTATGCAGTGAGATATGTAAATCATAAGTTAGCATAGAACTTATGGTTACATGTAGCCATTTCAACTGTAAGATGAATAGACCTTACTGCCAATCTAGTAGTACACTTAAATTCTTAAAGTGTAGGTACTGATGATAAAAGTTAATCAGAATAATCACCATAAAAATATTTGTAGAAAAAATACAGGGAAGCTATATTATGGTGGTGGGAGAGTGACTGAAGTCAAGATACTAGGTTAGGACCAATAACATTGCAACTTCTTTGGATCCTATCAAGAATCTCTCTATATATACAGTAGCGTCCAAAACTAAGGGACACAATTTTAAAACCTAATATTTGTTAGAAATAACAACTGTGAAAAGCTGAAATTTTGACAACTGGTAGTCGTTATCATCCATAATAACATACTAAAATTTGAATCATTTGCAAAGGATAGAAAAAGAATTATAACAATTATTTATTTATTTTCAAAATAGGATCGTCCAAAAGTAAGGAACAAAATTGAGAAAAACAAGGATAGAGCCCTAGGGTACCCTATATAAAAAATTAATGTATTTATTTTTAATCCAACATTTTCATTACATCAAATGTTATTATAGCAGATACTCATATTTGAAATAGACACTCCATTTTCATTTTTACTTTAAAAAGTGTGTATTATGTCTGTAATACACACTTTTGTATAGGGAACTGGTCACTGGCAAGAAGGCGACCTCATCTTTGCTTCAAGGATATCTGCAAAAAGAACATGAGGGCAATGAACATGGACATCAAGAGATGGGAAGTGTTGCCTATGATTGCACACACTGGAGATGCAATTTACACTTAGGGCTGCAGCGAGGATAGAAGAAATGAAAACTTGCAGCCTGGCTCAATGGAAAGAAAACAACAGAGCAACATTGAGGGAGAGCATCTTCACATGCATTCATTGCAATCAAGAATGTTACTCCTGTGTCGGCCTGTACAGCCATAACAGATGATGCATTGCCATCAGAAGCCGAGACATAAATCTTTGGATCCAAGGTTTCTCAAAATTGATGGATCACACACACATTATATATATATATATATTTAAATAATTTTATAATTTTTTAAACTTAACACAGATTAAATTTAAATTTTTAATTTTATAGTAAAATTTAATATTAATTAGAATGATTTCTATTTTAGTCTAACCCTAACATAAAGCATTAATTATAACTAAATTTTGTTGTTAAGTTTTTTGAATTCTCATATACTTGCATTTTGATTGATCATTGCATCTTATGTAACTGCGTTTCCCCTAGCAAGGGGTGTTTGATTGATTTGAACCTTTTAAAACACTTAATTCTACTTTCAACGTCATCACTTGATAAGACACCAAAAGTGTTGAAACAAAATGACTATTTTTGTAGTGATTTTATAACATATTTATGTTATAATTTTCGAATAAATAAATATATTTGCTCTACTTTGTATTGAGAACTCTTTTAAGAACAGTATTTTTTGGTTATTGGAATTTATTCTGTATACACCAATCCTATACTTGGATGGATATATATATATATATATATATATCAAGGGAGGGCGTCTTTACATGCATCCATTGCAATCGACTCACTCCCATTTGGGCCTGTACAGCCATAACAGATACTGCACTGCCATCATCTAACCAGGCATAACTCTTTAGGTGCAGATCCAAGTTTTCTTGAAACTGATGGATATTACACAAATCATGTCTATTGGTCTGCATATTCAAGAAATCTTTAATAAAGAAAATGTTCTTTCCAGCATGGCTCAAAACTGTGCCCCACTTTGTAGGAGAAACCACTATTTGATCCAGTGTGTGCTTTTCTTAAATAGTGAACATAGAGCCTTTCTGAAGTGTGACACTCTCTATAGCTGAGCAGTAAATCCCACTGCATCAAATGGTAGAGTATGTGATTGTGTGTATGTGTATGTATGTAAATAGATACTTAGAGCTTAGTTTAGTCTACTAGAGGACTTATATATGGATAAAGAGGGAATAGAAAAGCATGCATGAATATGTATTTGAATAAATACAATATGGGAATCAATTTTCTTCTCTCCAATCAGAAATATCCAATTTATTAATGTAGAAAACTGCTAAAGCTAAGCTTGGAGGTGGTAGAGTATGAGTAAAGCCTGTGGGCAGTGATAAGAAAAGTTGAAATCTTCCTCCAAAGCTACAAATGTACTCAGTACTAAAATAAAATCATGATTGTCTGATTTCTCTGTCCCACTACCACCATATTTTCTGTCACTATATGTGTATGACAATCATAAGAAGGAATGAACATATTGACATACTAGATTTTTTTCTGTAACATGCTGACATGTGTTGAAGTCCTTACAGTATTTAGTATTGTTGAAGTTATCACTGACATTTTGTTGTTGAGTTTTACAAACTCTACTCTCCATACTGTGTTTGTATTTAGAGTGTTACTAGTGTGCATTATATTTTACCAGAATGAAATACATGTAAAAACTTAAAAAAAAAAAAAAAAAAAAAAGACATGCAAAAAAACAGTATTGCATTTTTCTTAAATTAGTATTTGTTATTTTAATCATTAAATTGTTTTAAAATAGTGGGAGTATTTTGTATGTTAAATAATAAAACATTTAATTTTTTCAAAAAATGAATGAAAATTTATTGTACTACACTACGTGCCCGAGTAAAACCAACTCTACATTGTAACCCCTTATCTGTTTTTACTTTCCCCCAAAATTTGGTTTTGATTGGTCTATGTATGGCTATTTTAGAGGGTGTGATTGATGTCATAATGGAAGTCACAGAATTTATATATAGATTTTTAAGTAATCTTGTGATATTGCAGGTTGGTATTAAAATCACTTCCAATGGATTTAGAATGAAATAAGCTCCAATGAATTTTATAGTGAAAACATCTCTAATTTTATAGTAAAATAATTTTCAATAAATTTCTGTTTTTTTGTGTTTGTTTTGTTACTATTACATAAGTCATCATTAGACTAATGATAACTTATGTAATAGTAAGTTGTCATTAGACTAATCTTTAGTCTCCTTTCTGTTTCTTTCATTCTTAATAACCACTTGCCTTGCTTAAAGTGAAATGATTAAAAAAGACTAAATTAAATTTTTGTTGCATTTGTTTAAGCCACACTTCTGATATCGCAATGTTTTAATACGTTAGTATTAAAACATTCACAAAATCAACTAAATAGTTAAAAATTAAAGGTCTTGATTAAACTGATTACTTACAAATAGATTTTCATAATTTTCCAATTTATTTAATGGATAAAATTAAATTATTTATTATTATCTTTTTATCAAGTATCATCAATTTGTTTGTCATTTGTATTTCAGAGTAAATAAACAGGTAGACAATGAAAGGAAATCAAATAATTTCAGATTAATTAGATTCAGATATTCCATAAATTCATGCAATAATGTCATCTATGAAGTGGCTCCTCCAAAAAGAACTGTAATGAACTTTTTTTTAATTAATTCAATTAAATGAATAAAAATGAATTTAATTCAATTATGTGATCAACTTGATTTTGATTAGGAATTTGCAATTCATGTTTTGGACAAATGTTTTATACTTCTGTTGGGCTTCCAAATAAATGTTTTTTTTCTTTGGCATATCAACATGGATATTTAGGTTTTGTTAGTTTTACAAGCACATTTGTTCTCAATTTTCTTTCTCTTAGAGTTGTTTACAGTTACAAAGATTCTTTTATTCATTTTCATGGAAAAAAATATATAATTAGTTCAATTCCACTACAATGTTATTTCAAATGAAATGATACCATAAATAAAGGCAGTATATAAGGAGGGGTGAAAGACTTGTCCAAGATCAAGAAACAATTCTAGATTCACTATTTACATTATTCAGACTACTGTCCTCATCTTTATCGCCACAGTGGATAAAGGTGTCAGTTATATCCAATGACAGGACCCAAAGAGTGCGAGTTCAATACCCGGTTAAGGCAGTGGGAACTTGGAGAGGGGAATTAACAGGAGATAACTGACAACTGACATTCATTAAACATGGCATGTGGAACTAGAACAGTCTACACCAGTGAGCGAAATAAAGGGTTCAGTTTGACATTCCAACCATCTGAAAAAGGCCGGAGCGTACAACGGCCAAAACATAATAAATATAGCAACAAAGATGAGGACAATAGTCCGAATAATGTAAATAGTGTACATAATACCTCATCTCAGAAATATAGACAAATTCTAGATTCAAATTCAAGCCAATTAGTTAACCCATTGTATCCATATAGTGACTTGAAGCAAAAATAGATCCAGAAAATGACTTTTTTGGTAACAAATTAGAGGAATGAAAATTTAAATTACTTCAGTCAATCTATTAAATACACTAAATGGATTTGTAAGAGAAAAAGTTAAACATATCTAGAGAGTGTAATTATTATTATTTCTAATATTGTAATTACCTTGATACAGTCAGTTAAACAACTAATGTCTTCATTAGATGAGCCAAATCCAATCCAATTACCAACAAGTTGACGAGGGCCTTTATTTTTAGTGCTATTTTAAATAATACGCTTCTTTATTCATAAGAAATTATACAATGGCTAATGACAGTACAGAATGGACCTTAACATATTGAATAATTTTCCATCTCTGTAAATAAAGAATTTTGCCCTTTAACAAAAGGAGAGAAAAATAAATAAGAGAATAATAAGTGATTTGTTTTTTATGATTTATTAACCTTCCACGGGTTATTTAAAGTCAGAAAATATTTTTAGATTGTAAGAGCATTTTGAAGATAATAATGATTTACTGATACATGTCCTACTAATTAACCCATTGCTGGAGGGAGAAGAGGCAGATTCATACATTTCCCAAGGTTATTTGCACATTAGTGAATATAACGAACCCAATTGGAATTGGAACTCAGCTCTCCAATCTCCAAATCTGAGCTATTATCAGCCACATCCAAGCTTACAGCACCATGTATTACCAAGCAGTCACCCATCTAGGTACTGACCAAGCTTGACATTGCTTAACTTCAGTGAGCATACAAGAATCGGTATTCCAACATGATATGGCTGTAATCCATACCTGCAACACATCCAAGCTTACAGCAACTGGTATTAACAAGTAGCCACCCATCTATGTACTGATAAGGTTTGATGTTGCTTAACTTCAGTGATCATACTGAAACCAGTATTTCAATGTGATATAGCCGTGATCCATGCACCACCCCCACCTCGCACATCCAAGCTTACACCAACTGGTATTACCAAGCAGTCACCCATCTATGTACAGACCAGGCTTGACATTGCTTAACTTCCATTATTGTATTTGAGCTAATCTTTCAACATAATATGGCTATAAGCCACAATAGGAAAAAAAGTACAAATATCAAAGGCTGATGTGTTAATAAGAAAATATTATACATTGACGTTTTGGGACTTGCATCCTCATTATTATACAATAATTTATTCAGACTAGCATCTTTATCTTTGTTGTTACCATCACAATGCTTTGACTGTTGTACTCAGGCCTTCTTCAGATATCTGCTGTTGTTTGTAAAAGTCTGACATGTTAATGAAAAAGTAATTCTTTCGGACTCGCATCCTCAATATTTGCTCAGACTGGCCTTCACATCTTTGTTTCTATCAATACAATGCTTCGACTATTGTACCTTCACTCTGGCTTTCTTCAGATGTCTGTTATGGAAATTTTAAACCAATCACATAGCCTGATGGATAAAGGTGTTGGTTAATTAAACTGCCTTATCTGGTGGATGTGAGTTCAACCCTTGTGTCAAATAGTACAAAAAAAATTAATCAACTCTGCTTTAGTTGAAGGTACAAGGATGAATTAGCCAGATAGAATTAACTGGCAAAGATAGCATAATTAAAATAATCTATGCCTGTACATTGAATAATGTGTTCAGTTTGAAATACTTGGAAGGTTACAAATTATGACAGTCACCTGAAGACAGTAAGAGAGTGCAAAGACCGAAACCTTGTGATACTGATAAACAAACTGTGGTTGGATGGAATCACGAGGAGGGACATCTAGGGGCATTAGTGTTCCATTCTGAGGTGCCCATATATCTATCATCTGGGCGGGTGATTGGTGATTTCCCATTATAAATAGACCATCTTGGAGATGAGAGATCCCTTTCTTGGGGTAGGTTGTACCATACATATACTTGTGACAGGCAGGGGAAGAATGAACAAACGGTGAAGTGGATATGAGGAAGAGAACAAAGAAAATATCAAGAGACTGGTGTAGAGGGGTGAAGTGCCCACCCAGAGTTGTTAATTTCTTTTGACCGCACAAACATAATAAGGAGACCAGTCCAAGCAAATCAGCATATGATAATGATAATTCTCTATCTCAAAAATTTGGGCAAAATTTTCATCTTCATCTTGAGTGTTTTTATTACAATGATTTGGTTACTGTAATCTTTAACATTTGTTCAGGCATCGGCTGTATTTGTTTACTATCAAGAAATGTTGAACAGAACCTTTCATTTCATTGGGAGTATATTTTCATCTTTTGCTTTTTATCAAACCTAGTATCCTTTCTGTGTATTTCAGACTTTGTAAATGTAACCTTTCTCCTGGCTTAACAAGTTATAAATCTATTCATTTTTTCTGATGTTCTGTAAATAATCTTTAAGAATAATCTTGTGTAGCATTTTTTGCTTCTTAGTAACACAGGTCATCCTGTGAAACTGTTGTCATACATTATTGGAATTTTATTTCAGAGTTGACACGCCTTTGAGATGGAATACCAAGTAGACAAGAATGAGCATGTTTGACAACTTATCTTTGCTAAAATGACCAAACATACAATTAAACAGCTTTTCCACACCCACTATATTCTTTTGGTTTAGCCCCTTTAAACTACCACCTTTTTTGATAACCATTTGAGGGGTGTTTCATTCAACAACAATGTGGGGCTTAAAATGTAGTTTGATGAATTTTTTGAGTCAAAAGTGAGTGATTTCTATTGTTGAGGCATTGAACAGTTAGTGGATTGTTGGCAGGAGGTCATAAACAATGAAGAGGAATAGATTGTTGAATGATTCATCAGTAATATTAATAAATAATAAGTATTAAAATAAATTATAAAAAATTAACAAATTTATGTAACAACCAACAAAGGGAAGAAAAAGAGTATAAAAGGCAATTTATCATGAAATATACTAAAATAGTCACAGTAAAATAATATAAACATTAAGAAAACATAGTTTATTGACTAGTAAAATTTGAACTTGTAAATTTTCTTAAAAATAAATTAAAAAAATAAAGAAAGGAAAGGGCGACTTACCTCGTCAAACCAAGCGACAGTGTGTCGCGTGTATTCTACAACGGAAAATGTAGCGAAAAAGAAAATTACTTACCAAACAAAATGGCACATATTCCGCATGACATGCTGAAGATGGAATATTTGAATTAAAAAACAAGTCCGTCGCAAGAGTCACTATAAAAGTATTTTGATATGCAAATTACTGAACATCCTCTCCCAGCTGTCAATGAATGGAAAAAAAAAATGTTCAGTGATAAAAGCAGTTGGTGTTCTAGAATCGAGGGAAAAAAAAGAAAAAGTCGGCTATTTTGGCTGCCACAGCTGTTGGAGAGTGAGTTATTTTTCTGACTGGTGGCGTGCATTGGGATTTGTGAAATAGTGCTTGCGAATTGAGTTTTCGGCATTTTCTTCCTGTCCCTAATGTTTGAGTCTGAACTTAGTGATTTATTCTTTGTGATGTGGAACTAATCTGCGACAAACGTTTCCTTTGCAGTCCCAGATCGCCTAAAAAGGGTTTACAAAGTTAAGCGATTACTGTATTTGACCAACTGAATCAGTAAATTTTGTGGACAGCATGCAGACAAACTGAATCAAGATATTAGAAACTTGATTGGACTGTCTTGGTGCTAAACAGTCAGCTACCCTCAGATATATAAATAACTTACCTTTGAAAAGAATTCTGGCAATCATTCCTGGAAAGACTAGAAGAAACAGAGGCAATATTTTTAGGTAACCACAGAATATTGTTGCAGCTTTGCTGTGATCATAGGATTTTGCAGCTAGCGCCCTCTGAACAATGACCTATAAAGAAGTAAAGAAAGAAAAATATGAATATAGCTATAATTTTACTAAACTACTAACCTCAGCAGGATACCTTAAAGTCTGCAGTTTTCGTGATGGAAGTCTTATGGTAAGCAAATGTTAATATTAAATTCCTCATATTATCATATACACTACAAGCAAAAAAAAAAAAAGAAACTCCTTAAAATGAGCTATTTTTGTATTTTTTTAAGTAAAAGATAAAATTTTACTAATTACAGTGTATTTGCTTTTATTGTGACAAAAAAAAAAAAATTAACTATAAAAATATTATTATACAACAGCATCATATTTTGTTTTCATCAATAAAACCATCAACTATTTTAATTATTGCTTTACAAATTCTTGGTATTCTTTACATCAGTTTAAAAAAACAAAGTACATGGCAGACCTTCCCAAGAATTCTTCAAGAACTCACTCTTTGGATATTCTCTTCGAACTCTCCTATCCAATTCATCCCATACTAATACAATAGAGAAGCCAGAAGATTGAGGCAGGCAAGTCATAATTTCCAAAATTTTATTCCTTTTTTTGATTTGGGATAATTTTAACATAATTCAAAAGAGTTTTGGATTGTTGTCTTTCTGAAAGTTGAATTTTTTCCAATTATGCGGAAAGCAGATGGTATATCATGTCTTTGCAAAATTGAATGATATTATTCTTTTTTCCTGATAACCATGACCTGAATCAAATGTCCAGCCCTTTCTTCCCTAAAACACCCCCATGCCATAACAAACCTAACACCATGCTTAACTGTTGGAGTGACACATTCATCCTGGCTTTTGTCTCAGTCTCCTCTTACTGCCAAAAAGTTCAAATTTGGTCTTATCTGTCCACAATGCAGACGAATTAAGTTCACCTCTCAACTCTGAAGCAGTTTTCTAAATAATGACTGGATTGTCTTCATCTAGATTGTCACTTTTGTTGCTCCAGCTCTTTTTCTATCAAAATTTGCACCTGTTTCTAACTGACTCTGTAACAAATATTGCTCCCCATGTTTAGAAATCCTCACTTCTTGCCAATTTGTCTTTGATAGTAGCCTTCTTTTAATAATATTTCAATTTTCGATGCTTTGTTGCTTTAATTTTTGTCATTTTGTGCAAAGTACTTCGAAATTAAAAAATAAATTTCAAAAAATGTGAAAATACTGTCATAATGGCACAATATTTTTTTTCTTCAAACAGATACAGTGACATATGCTTTGTTTACAATATTAGTCAGTAATGAGTTAACATTTAAAACCTGTATTAATATTTAACTTACTTAAAAAGTCTACTGGGAAGTTTAATGGTGAAAAACAAAACATCATGTTTCCCATACAAAATATTCATAAGTTAGCAAAATGTATTGTGGACAGATGAATCCAAATTTGAACTTTTGGTATTAAAAGGAACCTGGCGAAAGACTGAAAATAAATGCAAATACACTATCGTTACTGAAATTTTATCTTTTACTTAAAAAAAAAAAAAAAAAAAAAAAAATCTCATTTTAAGGTGTTTTTTTTAAAAATAAATTTTTGCCTGTAGTGCACACACACATACATATATATATATATATATTATGAAATTGATTTAGTCTGACAATTATTTAATATATTTTCTGTTTATACCTTATTTACTTAAATAAATTATACCTATAAAATAATGTATAAACAGAAATTATATATATATATATATATATATATATATATATATATATATATATATATATATATATATCACAGCCAGTACTGTTTCGCTGTATCACAGCTCCTCAATGTGACTAGACATTCAATCAATTTGGTGAGCTATCTTCATTCAACAGAATGAGCTAGCTAAATCTAGTGTATTATTTTTATGAATGTAAACAAATGTCAATCAGCCATATGGCTTGATTCATTTTACTGGAGAGCTTGGCATAATATATAAATCTAATAACATCTAAAATTAACATTTAATATCTCCCAAAGTCTTATGAAAAAGAATGTAAAAATAACATTCAAAATTCATTTAATTTAACCCCAAAACCTTAGGGATCTTCAAAAATATTTATATGCTTTAATTGAGAAATTAATGTATTATATATTTGTTTCCTATCATATTACAAGCCTTAGAATGAGAAAGTTTAAACACTTTTATAGAATACACTAGCATTTTGGTTTCAGTTTGAACCCCTACACAAGACTTTTACAAGGTTGTCAAGGCACCAACTAAGCAACAATCTGACCAATTAGAACTTTCTTTGCGTAAAATCTGTAAAATTATTGCCATTTTACATTTGAAAACTATAAACATTGAACAGATAATACAAGTGCTATTTATTAATAAATAAACTGTTGATATATCATTCTTTGCTGGATAAACTTTGATACACACTATATTTGCATCATAGATTTCCTTGGGTTGGTTAGAATCTTAACAATGTAAGCTGGACTTGGTAAAACAATATGGGGTAAAAACCTGAAAGAAATTTAATTTCAGTTATTACATTACAGGTAAATCAATCTGGAATGAAGAAAGGAAAATACAGGTGAGAATATCAATGCAGGCAAATATTATATAATTATCCTGGGTAGTTTCTCTTAAAATTAACAGAAATCTTTTTGATCTTCTTACGTCATCTTTCATGTCATCTAATGTCAACCTTTTATGTTATCTAATGTCATTTTTTATGTCCTTTAATGTCATCTTTTATATCATCTAATGACAACAAAGGAAAACTTTTGGCCAATAAAATGTGCATAAGAAAATCAAAGTTGGCAAATTGCATCCTATTTCTGTATTTACCTCTATACTTTTAATGTCTTTACCTAAAATCTTTTCCTTAATATGAGTAGATAGTTTACATTATTTACATTGTTCGGATTGTTGTCCTCATTTTTATTTCTATATTCACAATGTTTCGGCCGCTGTACACTCCAGCCTTCTTCAGGTGATTGCTATTTCTAACTGAACCTTTTATTTTGTCCACTGGGGTAGATTGTTCTTGTTCTAGTTCTCAAGGACACATGCCCCAGTAGATAAAAGCATTGGTTGGATCCAGTGACTTGACCCAAAGAGTTGTGAGTTCAATACCTGGCTATGACAGTGGTGAACAAAAACTTGGAGAGCTGAGTTAAAGGGAAATAACTCCAACATCTGGAAGAGGCATAGCATGTGGAACTAGAAGAATCTACCCCAGTAGACGAAATACCTCATCTCAGAAATATAGACAGATATAGAAGTAGATAGATTTGACTATCATCCGATTCACACTCCTCCCTGGTCTTTTGAACAGGAGTAGAGGTTTATTGATTGTTTACTGTTTAGGATTGGGTTCCTGGTTCCTTCTAAAGTCAGCTGAGATCCTAATAGATACTACCATCTTGGGTCAATGTGTATCTGGGAACAACAGCAATTAAGAGGTGGTTCCACACTCCTCAAAACCTCCTGATCAGAGGCCTTGCTGCCAGATGTAGTTTATCGTCATACCTAGCACGTGATTTAACCTTTTAAATCTCTTACCTGATCAGAGCACCAATACCAGATAGAGTTGATGGTAAGTCCAATGATGCCTGGGCCTGGAATATCATCTGCATCAGGAGAATGGAAGAAATGCATGTAATCTTTTCGAGGATAGCCACATTGGGTGGTATTGTCCATTAGTGTTGTGTTGGGGATTGCGTATGGGTACTTCTCTACCATTGCTGTAAAGCCACCAACTTTTACGAAGCCTATAAATTTCAACAATAAGGATATTTACTCTTTAATTTCAAACTAGATTCAAAATTTGAAAATTAAGGAAAGAAACTTTATTGCACAAACATAAAATATAATGAACATAGAATAAAACACTTTTTAATTGCTACCTGACACAATTTCTCAAGCAAAAAAACAATATAATGCTGTCAAAATGAAGAATTTTCCACCATAAAATAACTAAACAATAATTACATGACAGTTATGGTGCATAATTTTATAACAATAATAATGGGAAGGTGTTATATTCCTTGCTAATAGGAATATATACTTGAAAAACATGGTGGATTGAGGCGAATGAAGAAAACAGTAACCAGCGAGTAAATTCAAGCTCTCCCAGCTGGTATTTCAAACTTGAGTCGTTCCTTCCTGAGTTCTGTCTCCAAATCACACTAACAGCCCGTTCTGTGTGTCAACCGTGAACGTCCCCTCAAGAACTCTCCGACTTGGAAAAAAAGTAGTTGTTTTTATAGTTGTTCATGTACCCATAATCCCTTGTGTCTTCCTGTGATCCCATAATTCATTGTCCATGTCCCATAATGCATTGCATCGTTGGAGCATAAAAATGCGATGCCAGTCCCCCTCATTCTTTTTTACGTTATTTGGCCGAGGATGGATTACGGCAGAGCGTAAGTGCTTTTTCTCTCCCTCATTTCAACTGCAGTAGCTTTACATGCTAAGCAAATTATTAAGCTCTTTTTTTTGCGGGACAAGGCAAGTCGCGACCAGTTGTGCTCGTTCCAGGTTCTGTTTCATGTCCGCCACATGGATAAAATAAATAAAGGTTTATTGTAAAAACCAGAACAATAAGAAATAAGGTAACAGTTATGCACACGATCATCACAAGTCAATCCAGTAGTGAGTGCTACTATTGGAAGGTTGGTTGTTCTCGAAGACAGAGAGTTCAACCAGCACAGCTGGAAAAGATTCCAGCTAGACTCCTGTTATCCGTTGCCTTATGAATACTTATAGGTAGTTACTACCTACAGTGTAGTCACTCATGAGGCTGACAGGTTGCTCCATTACATCAGAAACCAAGACAAATGAAAAGAAATCAAATCCTTTAAAGAAATATATACAGATATGAGACATTATTGTTGTATACTCACTCATAATCATAAGAAAAATGGCACCAGCCAACATTATGAAAGTCTGGAGGAAATCTGTCCAGATTACAGTTGACAAGCCACCTTTAAAATAAAAAAAATTAAATAAATATAGCAAATATATACAAGGAGGTACTGGAAAGTTTCCCAATAACCTTGAATCATTAAATGTATGCAATTCACTTATTCCCCCTACAGTAAAGGCAAAGATCTACATGATCTCAATGGGAAAACTGTTGGAAAAGGGAAGTTCCAGTCAGGCTGGTGTAACCAAGTTGGACCTTGGCAGACTGATGCAACCAGGTTTGTCAGATTTTGTCCATCTCAATTCTCTTTGAGCTGTGAGGGAGGCGCTTCTGGCCAAGTGGATGGGCTTCTCCTTCACAGCCATCTCTGCCACCGCCACAAGTAGGGAGAAAGGGAATAGGGAGAGAGGATAAGATCCCAATGTGAGAGGAAGCTGATGACAGTTAAACACAGTTGGCACATTGTTTCTGAAGTTTCTTCAAAAATTAAAATAAAATAAATTAAAAGAAAGTTTTTAAATCTTTAATATTTTGTTGTAAATTCTCAAGAAAATTCATAAATTCACTTTTATATGTTTGGGTTTTATTACAATTCTAATGATCACTTTAAAACAATAAACATTGCCAAAGGAGAAAACATTTTGATGCACTGTTTTTTTTTTTTGTTTTTTGTGGGTACAAAGATTAAACTTTGTCCTTTCTTTTTTCTACTCTGTTTCTGTTATTCATTTCCCTCTCTTTCATTCATAGAAATCACTTTTCTTTATTTTTCTCTATTACATTGATGTTTTCATATTTTTTTCATTCTTTTGTTCTATTTTTTTTGAGGCGGGGAGGAAGAGTCTGCACTATTATGAAGAGGTACTGTAGAAGAAAAGAGTACCTGATCTGTTATGTGATATCTGTCCTCTTATATGACAATGAATGCTAAATAATATCTTCAAAGATGAAGAGACTTGAAGCAACAGAAATGTGGTACTACAGAAGGATGCTGAAGATACCATGGACCGAACATGTGAGCAACAATAAGATTTTAGAGAAAATGGAAACAAAAAGGAAACTTATACTTATATATAAATTTCTGGGCCACATAATGAGAAAGGAGGACTTGGAAAATATGATACTCACAGGACAGATTGAGGGCAAGAGGGGCAGAGGAAAACAGTGCATAACATACTTAAGTAAATCGATGGCAGAACAGGGTTTAGGAGAAGTAACAAAAAGACAAAATTTATCAAGAGCTACAAAGGACAGGAAATTGTGGAGAGCCATGATCGCCTATGTTCTAAGGGGACATGGCAATTAAAGAAAAAGACTGAAGAGTTCTTGGCCTGAACTACTTCCTAACCATTGTATCTATCTTTCTTTGCCTTGACCAATCTCAAGTTTTGCACATCCGCACATCAAGAGCGCTTCTCCTGACTGAGAAAAACACTGATGTTAAATAGTTCTCCCAGTCCCAACCCCATGCTGACTATTGGCTAATACCTGCCCAGTATTGTTCATATGCAAATAGGCAGCATCACCTACTCTAAGTAGAAGGTCTTCTCGCAACAGCCCATTGTGGAAGGGAAGGTAACTCCTGGCGCTTATAGCACCACATACAACCAACTTAGAGTCTTTTATTGGGCTAACCTGATTCCGTTACACTCTCTGCTGATCTCTTGATCACAGCAACAACATGCAGAGGTGGGCATTTCCTTCTAGTGCTCCTTTGCATGGGAGGCACTACAACCTCATTGTTGTCACTACATGCAGGAGGTATTTCATCCTCAGCGTTGTTGCTATCCATCTCCACTGCAGCAGGAGGCGCATTGAAAATTCAGGAATCTATTTCCAACTCCCCACCACTGGTGGATGAATCATCAGTGCTACTTGCAGCAGAGAATTGATCCCAATGCAGGTCAGAGGTCATTAACATGATGCGGCATGCCATCAATCAAGACAGATTTTGGACTAATGTTCCCAGTGATCTTCTGCACTTTCTTTTTCTGATCAAACTTGACGCTAAAGTCTGGTTTAGTGAGTGCCGCACACAGGGATGGATTTTTGTCGAAAGACTCCACTGCACCCGAAGGAGTGATTCTTAATCCCCCCAGTTCTTTGATTGCATTCATCTCGATTAGAAGGTTGAAACCAAGTGGCTTTTCTCATGCCACCAGTATATCAATCTTGACAGGACTTGCACCTTGCAACCAGAAAGCAACGACTCCAATCCCACAATAGGCACTGGTCTCCCCCGTCTATCATTGTTACGCATACAGGTCCTTTCGTCCATGACTGGCATATCTCTCTGCTGGTTAAAGACAACGAACAACCAGTATCGAACAACACGATGATGGTTCTGCCGTCCACCTGGGCCCCAATCACAGTTAATGCTGGGGTGCAGAAGATACTGGCACTGACATGTCTCTTCACACGCTTTCTCGGACAGTTTTGAGATATATGGCCCACAGTATGGCAACAGTAACATCGCATTTTATTACATTGTCCTCACTCTTGAACCATGAAAGAGCCAACAACATTGACCGCACAGTAATGTTCAAAGAGCCCGAGGTCAATTTTGTCAAGCCTTTCTCTCTGATCACTTGACTTCTTCCTTTTCTCTTCTGGTGGTTTTGAAGTTTTTGGTTCTGATGGTGATGGAACATCACCAGTTGGTATGGTCTTGTATTTGTGTTTCAAATGATTTAGATTAAAGTCCAATGGCTTTCGGGTTTGTTTTGAGTTGGTCCTTGTATCTTCAAAGAGGACAACACCATGGTTTATACTCTGCAGTGAGCTCACTGAATATGACTTGACGTGGAAATCTTGACTCTTCCATTCTTGCTACATGTCCTGATGATCAAAGACAGTGTTTAATGATCAGTGATTCAATGTTTTCACTCTTTCCAGGACTTTGGTGTTGGTCACATAGTATTTCCATTAGATCTTCAAGAATGAACCAAGTATTTGCTGATGAAAGCGTTCTAATTTTTGGATATTGCAACAATATAGAGTCCAGGTTTCACAACAATATAGCAAAGTTGTAGTGACAACAGAATTATAGACCATAATTTTTGTTGTTAACTTCAGATCTTCGTTGTTGAAGACACATTGATTAGCTTTCCAACTGATAGTCATAATTGTGGGTAATCAAGTGACAAAATGGAAAAATTCCTCTGTGATATGTTTCATTCTTTGAAATGATTTCAGACTAAATAATGTATTTACTAAGGGAGTTGTATATATGTAGGGGAAGGAATGAAATATAACAAATACTGGTTATAGTTATACATTAAGAGAAATGCTGAAATTTAAATTTCTGATGTTCGATATGACTAGAAAACCCAACCCAGATGACCCCACTCGGTTTTCTACCACTTTTGTTTTTATCATTATTGTTTTTAATTATTCTATATTGCAATAACAATCATAAATATGAATGTTGGTTGTTATTTTAAGAAGTAAGGGGATACAAATGTAAAGATTTGAAATTAACAACTTTTTCTTTTGTTTTTATCACTGCTATTTTTAATTATCCTACATTGTAATAACAATAGTTTTGCTAAGAAAGGCAATATACTGTTCTAGAAATAATTGTGAAAATTCCTATTTGTTTTTTCTGATAAATCTTAATTCCTAAGTTAATAATTGAATAAGCTCATGGTGAGTTCTAAGACAATAAATAAATTCCCATATCACATCATTAAATATTTAAGCTTAATAACTTGTAGTCTGAATAAAAGAATGAATTAAAAATGGAATGTTGCTTACCTTGTGATGGAGGAGAAGAAGCAAAGGCAGGTGATTTCTTTTTTAGAGAGAGATTATTGCAAACTGGGGAAAAGGACAAGTGATGGGAAGGAAGAAAGAAACAATAAAACCCAACCCAAAATAGGAGTTGGGGATTTATTTTCGTTTCAGTGAACTTGACAAAACTAGTCAGAGAGAAAAAATAGGATATGGCGAGTGCACGTCAGTACAGATGCAAAAGATGTCTCAGACAGCAGGAGAGTTTGGTATGTCTAGCTAGATATGGACCTCTCTGCAAATGGTCAAGATCCGGGTCTTTGTAAGATGCCTCATGCCAAGAAAAGCTGGTGGAAAACAGCAGTCATCAGTTGGAAAGACATGGTGTCTTGTGAAGTCTTTCCCATGGGCATTTTGTTCCTCAATTTGTTGTGGTTTCCGAGGCAGTTATTTTTTTTGTTACTGCCTGTCTCTTTCCCATCCTTTTCCTATTATCCCCATAGTTGCTGTGAGAGCAATAGTTTAGATGTTTCCCCCAATTTCAACAGACTCTTTGCTTACACTACAACAAAGGCTGTACAATAAAGGTTGTAAGAGACACAGAGGAAGGAGGAGATTTGAGAATAAGGAGGGACAAGAGAGATCCTGGGAGAAGCAGAGGAGATTTGAACTACTAAGCCCCACTTACTTTGCATTGATACACCCACTCTCAGCATCTTTTTATTTTTTTTATTTTAAGCTTTTAAACCACATAGCTTTAACAAAATATTGCAATAACAATCATAAATTCAAATGCTGATCATTATTTAATGAAGTAAAGGGTTACAAATGAAAAGATTTGAAACTGGCAACTTTTTCCATTTCACTGAAACAGACGTTGAACACATGAATGTGTTATCGCCTCTTCTATATTCCACGTTTTCTTTCTTTCTTTAGTATCCTTGATATGTTTTGCCACACATTCAAAACATAACAGTCCATTATTTATAGGGTATTGGCAGGGTGTAATGGTCATGCTAAGGGAAGTACAAGCAGAATTATAATAAGATACTATCTTTTATTTTTCTTTCTTTATTTATTTCATTTTCTCACTGAAAGCAAGTCGCATCTCTGATATGTCTTTTCCATCTTTCTGCAAGATCATTATTTCTGAGGTATCGGCAAGGCATAATGGTTATGCTAAGGGAGTAAACCCTGAGGACAAATCTGAAGCTGGAGTCTCAAAGACAGTCCGCAAAAATTCAAATTCCAAGTTGGCATCTGGTGCATAATACACTTCATGGCTTGAACAAAGTCTTTATTCTTAGGTGGCAGTCTTTTCTAGAGACGGTGTCTCAATAAAAACATCTGGATGTAGGGATGGTGTCCCACATTTTGTATCAGTTACTGAAAGAACTATAGTTCCGACCAACTATAGGGAAGTCAAAAAATGATGATGATGATGATGATGAAGAAGGGAGGGACAGACATAAATATAATTATAAAGATGATCATGAATGTAAATTTACCATGGTTAAAATCCAAAATTATTCTGATATTGTTATGGTCCAAGGTTAGAACCAAGGAAGAATAACATGAACACAAGAGTAGAATAACAAAGATATATTACAACAGAAATATAGTACAAGAAGTTGAAGGTGTTTGTAATGACTGTCTGTCTGGTTTAGTGTGAACTAATATTGTCTCGACTCGTTACACCATTCATTCATTATACCTCGAGAGGCGCAGTATTTATAGTGTCAAGAAGAGTCCATTATCGTTATAGGTAAGTTCCCATAACAGATATATAGTGATCATACATCATATTTTACTATGATCATAGTTAAAAAGTAATTTCCAGAATGTTGTTGACAGCTGTTTGTCTAAAGAATTGGTTTGTATTAGGAAGGCAAACTTAGTGCAAATGTTAATGGGGAAAGTTCTTACCTGCAATTGTAAACACACAAGCCATTCCCAAGACAAGCATCAAAGATAAGTAAAGGTCCCATTTCAATGCTTGTTCAATGAACAGTGCTCCTGCGTAGAGATCAGCCTATAAAAACAAAACCAAACAAAGGGAAATGTAAATGGTTTTAACTTATTGTTTATATGAAGAACAAATATTTGTCCTTCCAATATAAATATAGTCAAATGAAAAAAAAAGGATAAGTGTTGGAGATATTATTTTTGATAAAACTAACAGTAACAGAAAATGTACTAGCAATACCAGTTTGTTCATATCTATTTAACTCCACAGATAGATAGATAGATAGATGAACATAATGAGAAAGATATGTGAGCATAATGAGACAGATAGATGAACATGATAGATAAATAGATAGATGAACATAATGAGAAAAGAATCTTTAGTTTGAATTTCCATTTCATCCAAGGAATCTCAAAAACTTAGGTGATTTTAAAGTGATATGTCAACAAAAGTAACATAAACATTGACATTAATTTTTGCATGAATTTAACTCAAAATGTTCCAAACCATCAATTAAGCATTGGATGCTTTTTATTGCTATATATTTAAAACTTTTGCATCTTACTTTGATGTATCTGTGAATAAATTTATGCTCAAGCAAACATTTCTTTATTTTTCTTATACATGTTAAGTATTTAAAATATTCAGCATTTTAAGCTGGTAGAAATAAGAAAAATTATTCTTATAAGAACTTATAAGCCTAATATGTTTAGGTATTGCTATATATGCTGACAAATATGCCTGCCATTAGTATGGTTGATGCTAGATGCCTTTTTCACCTCATGTTTTCCATTGACTTGAAGTGGAAGGACTATATCCAATCAATAGCTGCATCTACTTTAAGGAAAGTTGGGTCACTGTGTCATGCCAGAACATTTTTCTCATCAGAATCCATCTTGCACTTTTACAAATCTAACATTCAGCCATGCATTGAATACTGCTGCCATATCTGGCCTGATGCTCCTGCTGTACATCTAAAGATTGTTGACAAAATCCAAAGAAGTATCTGCAATGTAATTAATCCTGACCAGGCATCTTGACTTCAGTCACCTTTTCACTGAATTGACATTTCTTCCCTTGGTCTTTTCTCCAAATATTTTCATGGCAACAGCTCTGACAAGCTCTTTTCTCTGACTACATGTATTTAAGCATGATACTAGATTGGCATCTAGGTCCCACCCTTTTACTATTAAAATAGATGCAACTGCCACTTCTACTCCAACAGGTTCTTTTCTTGCACTTCCCACCCGTGGAACTCCCTTCCATGTATTTGCTTCTCTGATAATCACAATCTACAAAAATTTAAATGCAACATAAATCACTGTCTTCTTGAATACCATCCATTTGTCCTTTCCCCATGGATCAGAAGAAAGTTCAGTTGTATAATTGAGCTGTTAGATGTTACTAGTGAGTAATTCTCTAGTTTAGTACAATAACCTTTTAAAAGTTAAACTGTAGGCTGGTTAGAAAGGTAAATTAGTAGAAATAGTATGGGTTTCATGAAGACAATCACTTGCTAGTAGGCTATAAGATACTGAAATCAATGAACAGTTCCATGTTTTGATATATCTCTTTATGATGACATGTGAATTAGTCATACAAAATATACCCATATTAATTTTCCATACCTTGTATTCCTTGACCTATGAAAAGAAATGAACTGGCATCTAGTAGAATATTGGAGAGAGAGAGAATTAAAAACAAAAAAAATATCTGTGGCTATATGAGAGACAGATTTTTAAAAGTAGTGTTTATTTTATTTTATGGCATATCAACACCTCAATGGGTTATTTAATGTTGACAAGATTTTTAGGATTCGTTTGTATAAACAGAATAAGTATTCTTTGTAAGAAATCAATTTGTAGATCAGGTTTTATTGACATATTTTTGTAAAGAGGATTTCTGTCAAGAGTATTGCTGGTAATATTTTTTTTAAAATGTGTAGCTGGTATTTTTACTATAAAAATCTATTTGTATACGTTCATAGTGTTTTAACTATTTTCCCATAGCAGGAACCCTAACAGGTGCTTTCACCTTGGGCCAAGGTGGACCTGGGAACAAAAGCAATTAACAGGTAGTTCCACACTCCTCAAAACCTTTGGATTAGAGGCCTTGCTGCCAGATGTAGTTAATAGTCATACTCAGGACAAAAAAGTATTGTCAATGTTTGGCTGTTACTATATTGTGTAAAGACTTTTTTCATAATCTTTTCATATAATTGTTTGATATCACAAAAAGCAAATATCAAATGAATTCATGAGTTCAATGCAAAAGAAAATAGAAATAAGTGTTGCATTCTTTGCGAGTTACTTTGGTATAATCAGGACTCAAAATGGAAATTTCAGTTTCATTTTTTTTTATAGGAGTAGATAGATTTGCCTATCATCCTGTAGAGATAGAGAAGGCTCTCATCTCCCTTTGGTGGAGGTGAGTCATGTGGGTAACGTGACGGTTGCTCAATGACATCACTTCATACAGGGATTAAAAAGGCAGTCAAATTCAGTTTGTTTTGCAGTAGCCAAAGCAAAAAGTTGCTTTCTTTAGTCCAGGCCTGGGCAGAGGCTAAATGGTGCCATTAACCTCTGGGAATATATCTTTCCCAGATACAGAATAAAACTCCAGTTTGCAGAAAAAAAACAAGACTTGCTGTTTTCCGTTCATGGAGTACATCCTCACCTTTGTTATAGATGAAGCCAGCCCATTTGAATCTGAAGTCTCAAACAGAGTATATATATATATATATATATATATATATATATATATATATATATATAACATTTGAAGTCAACACTCAGAGGTGACAGACTGTTTCCTGCTAAACGCAATCATCATGGTTATCATCTTTGTTCACCGCATGATGAGGTTTAAGCATCAAAGCAAATATGTATCTTTGTAGTGATTACTTGTTTGTTCATATATATATATATATATATATATATATATATATATATATATGATGATGATGATAGACTCTACCATCATTTTTGACACATGAGTGTCTTTCAGTTCAGTTTTTATGTGTATGAGACAACCCTGCATGGTATTTGTAAACAAATACACATGAAGGGTTGACATGGGTTCATGTATCAACCCGAGATTTAGTGTTAATTCTTAATTCCTTCAGATGGTTGAGATGATTCTTTTCAAAAAGTTAGTTATACTTTGGTAGAAGGTATTTCTCCAGTTTGCTCGGTTTTCAATAGCAAGCTTGAATTCCTCTATAGGGATGTTTGTCCTAATATATATATATTAGGACCTTGAATAAGTTCTCACTGTTTTACAACAAATGGCATTCCCAGCACTGCGTGTGTGTAGTTTCAGATGGCAACACATCTATAAAGAAGTACTATAAGCAAGCTTGAAATTCAGTGTATATCATTTTGCCAAAGTGTAAACAACTTTAATTTCATAGCATTAAACATGTCAGATTTTGTGCCAAAGAAATTGTATTTGTGGGGAATTTTACTGCACTACTTTATTCAAAAGAAATCCGCAGCAGAAGCACTCAGAATTTTTGTTGAGACTTATGGCGACCATGCTCTGATGGAAACAACATACAAAGATTGGTTTAGACGCTCCAAAAATAATGATTTTGATGTTGAAGATAAAGAACATTCTGGCACATCCAAAAAGTTTGAAGGCAAAGAATTGGAGGTATTACTTCACAAAAAGTCATGTCAAGTGCAAGCTGAACTTGCAGAATCATTAGGAGTTGATTATACAACAGTTTTGAAACATCTGAAAGAATGATTCAAAAGCAAGGACATCTGGTGCTATATAAGTTGAAACCGTCAAAGTGATTTTGTAACATGACATGTTGCAAAATGGGTGAAAACCTCCTTGGGAAAATTTAAATGGGAGGTCCTAACCCATCCACCATATTCACAGATATTGTTCTGTCTGATTATCACTTGTTCCAATCAATAGCACATGGCTTGACTGAGTAGCACTTGCATTCTCATGAAGAGGCCAAAAAATGGGTCAACTTGTGGTTAGCTTCAAGATGTGTCATTTTTCCGACGTGGAATTCAAATGCTCAAATGCTGTCAAAAAGATAGGAAAACATAGTGGCTAGTGATAAACAATAATTTAAGTGACATGTTTCTTACTAATTTTTGTAAATAAAACATTACTTTTCATGAAAAATCAGCAAGTACTTATTCAAGGTCCTTATATATATATATATATATATATATATATATATATATACAGTTTTGTGTATGTGTTAGTGATATAAAATAAAAGTCTCTCTAAGAACAAAGCAGGTTTGTCGTTCCTTTTCCTTTTAGCCATCCCATACTGTCCCTGAACTATGATGTTATTATATCATGGATAAAATAATGACCAAAACAGGGTAAACGTAAATGCGAGAATAAATATTTCTTCCATAGCTCTCTCCACACACAACTCTTGCCACAGAAGACTCGTACCAGCCCCAGCAGTTTTCTTGTTCCTCCTGTTGAAACAAGCAGAGAACATCTACCCAAGAACTTTGTTAAATGGGAAAGCCAACTTTTTTTCCCCTACAAAATATCACTTTTTTGCACTCTTTTCCAACTACAAATAAATGCTGTTAAACAGTTATTTCAAGCCTTGGGTCTTGCTCATCCCACTCTCACTGCTGCACAATACACACATACACATGCCATCAGGAAAAATTCCTAGAAGATAGATAACTCCAAAATTAATAACTACTAATTATAGTCATTTCTTTTAATGAGAAAATAAGAGGAATAAATAGGAAAGAATCCTTGACCCATCTGCATTTTCTTCTATCAGCCAGTGGCATACCAGTATTAACAATAATAAGTTTAGTTATAAATAATTATGACATAAAATCTATTAATAAGAAATAGACTGTCATTGAATTGAGGCCACTAAAGGTAGCAATTTAACACAAACTAACATTTTCCCCAACTTAGAATTAACTATTAATGTTTCACAAGCTGTTTATCTATCTCCATTAGTAAACTCACTCTGTATAATTTATGTAAGACTATAAATGATTAAAATAGATATAACACTTAATAATAAATTTATGCAACCATATACAGTTAAGCATTGGAAAATCTCAACAACTGTAGTTGTGATTTTATTTCCATAATAAATTTTTTAAAAATACTTTCATGGTAATTGTTCTGATGAAACTGCTCTTTATTAATCTTTGAAGAGAACACTTCCTGCCTTCATCAGCATGGCTGATGCTAACTTCCAGGAGAGTGATCCATTGCGTCTTCCCGTGTTAATGTTTTCCACTGATATGAAATAGAAATATTATATTGTATCAATTGATAGGTCGGCTGCTAGGAAAATTGGTTCTCTATATTGTACTAGACAATTTTTATCACCCAAATCTACCTTACATATTTATAAGTCTACCATCAGTCCAGACTTTGAATATTACTACCACATCTGATTTGGTGCTTCTGCTATATATTTAGGGTATACTTGATAAAATCCAAAGAAGTATCTACAAAGTTATTGGTCCTGACCTGGTATCTTAGCTTCAGTCACTTTCCCACCATCATAATGTAGCTTCCCTGTGCTTTTTCTAAAAATGCTTTCATAGTATTTTAAAAAATCTTTATAAATTTAAGCGCAGTAGTAGATTGGCAGAAAGGTCTCATCATTTCACACTTCTTGCTTCTGAAACTCTCTTAGAAACCTTATGTCAGAGTAGATGATTACTTGCTAGTACCTCCCAATTCTATTATCCTTTTTCATAGTCTGTTCCAGTTGATCCTTATAGTGACACATCAGGCAGCCATGGGGGACTTTGGCCTGTTTCTGAGTTCATAATAATAGAATTGATACGAGAGTCTACTGCTGAGTACATAGACTGTCTATTGATGATAGTATTTGATCACAGGTGATTTTGAAGTTGGTAACAGACTGCAGCATTTCTCCATCTGAATGAGTCGAGATAATCAGGGAGATAAATGAAAGGTACAGAGATAATCAGGGAGATTAATGAACAGTATAGAGATAATCAGGGAGATTAATGAACAGTATAGAGATAATCAGGGAGATTAATGAACAGTATAGAGATAATCAGGGAGATTAATGAAATGTGTAGAAAGTATGCATCATTCTATGTTTCAAAAAGTACTGTACACAGTAATATGTAACACTTTTTCTAATCAAGTCTTTCTGCAAATATTTTTTGCATAAAATTTCTTATATTTTTTTTATGTCTTTTTTTAATCTTTTTTCCCCCATTTGCTAAATATAGTAAGACTGCCAAAAAAAAAAAAAAAAAAAAAAAAAGCAAATGGGTGGGGAATACTGTTGGGAGGATAATTAAAATATTTCCTTCATAGGCATATTGCATACTTGAGATAAAATATTATTTTCATACTGAAACAATCAAAAAATATAAAAGATTATATAAAGAAGAGGTTAATATCATTTAGCTGTGTCTCATCTGTATTCAGTTGGATCCCTGGTAAGATGAAGCGACCTAGCCATCTCTTGCAGTGGAGCAGCCATGACAGGATCAGAATACAGATCCCTTAATAATTGCTTCAATTTGCTCAAAGATCATTTGACTAACAATAACCAAAATTCAGAGAGGTGAAAATGTTTGTGATAAATGATCAATAAATAGGCGTCTGTCTGCATAGTAACAAGAATAAATCTTCAGAAATGCTCAAAAGAAAAGGAGAAATAAGTTGTATAAAAGATACGATACTCACTGAAATTTTGGTGAATATGTAGACCATGAGTGTTAAGAAGGCCATGCAAATCTGTATGCGTCGTCCTCCAAACCGAAGCTTTAGATATTCAGGCATTGTGTACACCTTTATTTGAAAAATATTAAAAGGAAAAGAAAAAAAAAAAAAAAAAAAAGAAGAAAAAAAACAAAATATGGAATTATAGATTTAACATTCTTGTCAGTTAAAACCAATGAGTTGAAAGTATTAGATGTCAGATAATGGCAAATTTACAACATGAAATTGAAATATGACAATCAAAGAAAATACATTAGACCAGTGATTTTTATTGTGGCTGTTAATGTACCCTTGGAGGCATTATGAATTCTCAAGGTAGCAGTAAGCATTCAAGGGGAGTATGGTGGGAAATGATACAATATTAACAAAATCATTGAATCCTTTGAACCTAGATTCAATCTTTCATATATGGATTTGTTCAATTTTTTTGCTAATTATTTTACATTTTTACTCATATTTTAGACATTTTGATGTAAATGCATTACTTGATAGAGAAAAAAATCTGTGTGTCAAAGTTCAACCATTTTGATGATCCAAAATGGTGACTATTATTTAGCTTTCCCATCATAACTTATTTCCAGTGATCAGTGCTGCTATCATGCAACAAAATGTAAACATGTGACATTTAATTCTGCTCCATTTTTTCTGGACAATCTTGGAAGGTGGGGGGATGACATTCTGATATAAGGTGAAAAGGGTGCCTTGGACAAAAAAACACTGAGCTACAAAATTTAAATTGGAATTATATGTAATTATTTTAAATATTTATTTAGTAATATTTTTAACCATATAAATATTTAATTTTTTTTTTTTTTTACACTATAGCACATCATTGTGTTTTGTTGCTGGGCACTTGATTTTAAAATCATGATACATTAATCACTGATTAAATTTTACTATTATCACTAATCTGATACCAAAAAAAAAAAAAAATCATTTAAAAGAAATCATTAATCAATAGAATTAAATCATACTCTATCTTGCTGTATGATGAATATCAAAAACAATTAAAACATAAAAATACATCATTTAAAAGTATAATATTTATTTATACAATGAAGTCATGAGATATACACTAAAGGCAAAAAGTTTAGGGCAACTCTATATCGCTTAAAAAAAAAACAAAAAAAAAAACACCTTAATATTATTTTTTAAAGTAAATGATAAAATTTCAGTAGCTAGTATATTTGCTTTTATTTTTCATTCTTTCACCTGATTCCATTTACTACCAAAAAATTCAAATTGGCTTCAGTCATTTTCCAACTGCCATAACAGTTTCCCTGCACCTTTTCTATACTTTCATAGTAATTATTATGATGAACTCTCCTCTATAGTACTTAGACTTTATGAATTCAAGCACAGTAGCATATTGACAACAAAGTCTCATCATTTTATAGTTGAAGTGGCTAGATGTAGCTATAAGTTCTATCCTAACAGTTTCTTATCTTGCACTTCTTGCTTGTGGAACTTTCTTCCAGCTTCTTGCTTTTCAGTCAACAACAATTAAAAATTTCAAAAAGAAATTAGTTATATTTCTGTGATTTAACAATAACTGCTCATATGTATTTTTCAATAAGAGCTGTTTACAAACCATTTACTCCCATCTCAATAGTAAGGCTGATCAGTTCAACAAGGCCAAAATGTCAGCTGATGACCAAAACAATCTCATCTGTTGTTAACTGGGACAAAAGATGGCTTGTTAATTTCAATGCCTTGGTAGTTTCATAGTTACAGAAAATCTGACACAGAAACTCATTGCACCTTCTTGGGCTAACATTGTTATAGTGAAACACACCTATTCTATTGTTAATAGACTCTCCCACCTATAATAAGTAATAGTAGTAATAGTAACGAGTAATAGCAGTCGCTCAGGGAGTTGGTCAGTCAGTCGATGCCGGACGACCATTAGTCAGATATTAAACTATCAGCCACCACTACTAGATTTCTCTGCGTCATACCTATTATATCAAGTTCCTAACGTTTTGTACGTCGAACCTGTTTTAGGACCGACTTAGTGAAATACAAGCCTCCACTGTGAAACTACTCTACAACACATTCTCGGCTGACATGAAGTGGAAAGATTATATTGATTCCATTGCTAGGTCAACTGCTAAGAAAATTGGTTCAATGTGTCATACAAGACAAATCTTTCCAGAATCTATCATATATATCTATATGTCTACTATTTGCCCATGCTCAGAATATTGGTGTCACATATGATCTGGTACCTCTGCTATTTACCTTGAGCTCCTTGATTAAATCCAAAGAATTAGCAATATTATCAGTCTTGATCTGGCATCTTAGCTTCAGTCATATTCCCACTACTGCCTCTCTGTGACTTTTCTATAAATACTAGTAATTGTTTGGATGAGCTCTTCAATATGATACCTAGACTTTTTGAATTTAAGCACAGTACTAGACTGGTATCAAGATTTCATCAATTTACAGTTGAGCTGGTTAAATATAGCCATAAATTCTATGCTAATAGTTTCTTTTCTTGCACTTCTTACTTGTGGAACTCCCTTCCAGCTCTATGCTTTCCAGCCAACTTTAATCTCCTAAAATTTAAATGCAATGTCAATAGCTATCTACTGTCCTCCTGATTACTCTTTTTTTCTTCCTGCTTGTTTGTTTCTGTTCCTAATTCTTCCACACCCATTAAGTGTCTTTACTGCCTTGCTTGGAGTAAAATCAATTAAAAAAAAAAAATTAAGCTATATTAAGCTTAAATTTGTTATAAATACCTCATTGCTATAAATAACATTTTTTTTTTTTAAATCAAGCCTTACTTTTCAAAAGTAGAAATTTTGTTGACAGTAAAAATTAATTTGTCAAGTCAATAAATGTTATCTTTGGTGGTTAAAGAGTTTTAAATGAAAAATAAGACAAACAAAAATCATAAACAATTATGATATCACATCACATTCATACCACATTATACAGGGTGTTGCAGAAATACCTCCCATGTAAGAGGGTGCTTCCCTGATCATTACAATCTTAACCTGTTCAAGTCTAGGGTTGCCCATGCTCAGAATATATAACTGTTATGTTCCCACGCATATTTGCATAACCTGTGCCTCTTATTCTGTAATCATCTAGCTTGAGTGGCTCTCGGGCCTTGTGAAGGGTGAATATCAAAAAGAAAATACCTCCCAGACATTAGTGACAATGGTGTCTTCATCTTGCTAATGTCTTACCATTATGTAGGAGGTATTTCTGCAACAACCTGTATGATATGGTGGAAACTGAGAATACAGAAAGGTAATATTTTTTCTTGAAAATGCTGAAATAATATTACTTGTGTATCAAACATTTTGTGCTGAAAAATACAAGAAGATTTTATAAATAGAAAATGGCAGGAAATGTTTCTTTCTGTTTGTTTACAAACAACCTGTAGTAATTAACAATACAAATTCATCATCAGCAGCAGCTGTTTCATTTTTACCTTCACCAGCAGAGTAGCTTTTATGGAATTCATGATAAAAATCAAAAACTTACCCCTGCTGACAAATAGACAGGTAGGAATATATATCCCAGTAAAAGCAGAATAAACATGGCCTGCAAAACATGAAGTAAGAAACATGAATGATAAACCACTCATGCTGCTTGTGAAATTAAAATCATTTTCTTTGAATTTTTGTTAATTGGGATTATTGGTTTAATTTTGTGTGTTATAATTCAGGTAACAAGAGGAGGCAGAGGCATAAAAAGCAAGAGTAGACTGTACTGTTGATTGGGGAGTAACTTAGATGTTGAAGTAAGTTTCCCAGCTTGTGACAAGGAGAGTTTCTTTGCTGATGACCAACTTCTTTTCCAGACTTTGAAGAAAGCCAACATTTCACAGAGATCAACAGATATTGTAGAAATCTCAAGTAGCCTGAAGGTATAGAAATACAAATCGACTGTAGAATTGTTGATATAATTCACTTTGTTGTTATAAGTCCGTACCAAATGGCTTTCTTTTACTGTCTGTTTTTTTTTTGTTTTTGTTTTTTCATGTTGATTCCTAGGTTTTCTGGAATTGTCCTGGGAGAAGGAAAGAAATGCATTTTGTAAGGGGAATGAAACAATCAATTCAGAGAGCTGCAGAAAGAAGCATGGCAAACATGAATGCATTGATGAGGAGTTTTGGATGAAACAAAATTTGATTTGATTTGTTTAACAGCATATCAACTCCTTATGGGTCATTTAATGCCGAAATTTAATTTTGGATGAAGCGAGAGCGAGTGAGAATTAAGAAAAGTGTGCCTGTCTTTAATTTTGGAAAAAGAAAAACTATGTTGTTTTGAAACCAAAACATTCATTTAGCCACCAGAGAGAACCTTTTCTTCCATGGCAGACATACCTTCTTGGCCTCACATTTTCAACTGACTTGAAATGGAGCAACTACATCAAAATCAATAGCTGCATCTATTGCAAGGAAAGTAGGGTCAGTGTCATACCAGAAACTTTTTGTCAGAATCCATCTTGTGCAGTCACTTTCTCACCAACATATCTTCCCTTTGTCTTTTCAACAAATGTTTTTATGGCAACTGCTCTTATTAACTTTTTTCCCTGGTGTCCCAAATACATGAATTTAAGTGTGCTACTAGATCGGCATCTAGTCCCCACCCTTTTACTGTTGAAATAGCTAAACGCAACTGCCACTTGTATTCCAACAGCTTCTTTGCTTTCCTGATAAATACAATCTTCAAAAATTTAAAGGCAACATCAATTACCATCTTCTGTCTTCCTGAATCCCGTCCATCTTTTGTCTTTTCCTCAGTCCTCCCTATTCTCGGTCTTCTTTTTCATTTTCACTGCCTGTAGTTCCTTGTGTACTAGTGGCATTCCCATCTTGCATGTGGTAAAATGATTAAAAAAAAACCCAAAAAACTCCAATTTAGTTTTTCTTACGTCTTATATTTATAGCTTTTTACAGGTGATACGGATGGCATAGATGTTATATCTTTCAATCAATTTTTCTCACTGCAATTTATTTCAATTTAGTATTATTTTAAGCAGTATGCCTCTTGTATGCTCAGTATAGACTAAACTAATATTTCTGCAATGATCTACATCAGTGCTGTTCAGCATGCAGTCTGCAAGTCACATGAAGACCACAGAGCAATTTTGTGCATACCATAATCAAGGTTGACTAGAAATGACATCCTTCACTTTGAATGGAAGTCTTACTGTCATATCACGTTCAAACACTGGTTCTTGTATGATCTCATATCATCATCATTATGCTTTGCTATGGAGCCATAATTAGTAAACCAGCCTCACAGACCATTACTACTGTAGTGAGTTCAATCCTCATTGAGTACTCCATATGATCACCAAAGTTAAGCAATGTTGAGCCTAGTCAGTACCTAGATGAGTGACTGCTTCGGAATACCAGATGCTGTAAGCATGGATGTGCAGGTGGCGTAATGGATAATGACTTGAAATTAGAAAGCCAAGTTCCAATTACATTCAGGTTTGTTATATTAACTTACACACAAATACCCTCGGGAAAGGTATGAATCCATCTCTTCTCCACCCAGCTATAGGTTAATTAGTATAATTCGTATCAGTAAAAATCATTATTATCTCCCAAGAATTACAATCTAAAATATTTTTTGGCTTTAAATAATCTGCAAATGGTTGATAAGCCATAAAAAAACAAATCAATCAATTTTCAGTGAAAGTCAAAAAAATGTTGGCATAGTTTAAAATTAATTACCCTGCATTCCTGGTTTGCTTTCCATCATTGGCTACACCAAATTTTATGTCCTCAATTTCTTGTAGGTTTAAACTGGAATTTCACTTGTGAAAAGGGATTTTCAATCATGTAGAAGAGGAAAGTACTAATACAGGATATAATAGACCAATGGATATCCTCTGGTCAGATTTGACTGATGAACATATAGACCAGAGGTGGCCAAACTTACTTAAGATTAGAGCCACATCCAATAAAATTCAGATGTTTGTGAGCTGCAAAACATCAACAAAATTTACACATGTTTTTGATACCTACACATTAACACTAAACCTACATCTTAATCCAATGGCATCTCAATTCATACACAGTAAATAATTATAAATCTTGAAATTTTTCTTATTTACCTTTTATATGAACTGTGATGAAAAAAGGAGCTCAGTCAACATATTTCCACGAGCTGCATATATCAAAAGGTCATAGAGAGACATGTAGCTCATGAGTGGCAGTTTGACTACCCCTGATATATACCAACAAACATGTTAAGGAAATAATGTCTCCTGTTATGCCCAGAACAATATGACTTTGGACTGTTTATATAGAAAAATACATTCTCAGATTTCAACTCTGTATAATTAATTAACACACAATCACTTATAGGTTAATATATAGTTAATTAGCAAATATAATGTAGATACAAGTGTGGCATGCCTTATAGATGCAGTAGACAACAGGTGAGGTGGAATGATTGAAAGACAATCAAAGATTTAGAAGCAGTCACAAAAAAATTCATATGCCAAAAATAAATATGGTTTCAAAATTTAAAATACTATTATGGATGACTTATAATTGCATGCATGAGTCCCAGTATAAATATTTATAAATAATTATTGACCAATTTTATCAGTGTGATATTTTTGCATTATATCAAGTATTAAGAATATTGTAACTAGGGTCTCTAAATTAGAAGAGAGAGTTATCAATAATAATGTTCTGACTTCGAATCCACAGTTATCTCCCTTTAACCTTCTCTCCATTTTTTTTTATTATTAAATGTACTTTTTATCACATAAAATTTGGTGAGGCAAGAGCAAATTTTAATTCCGAAAATGCAGCCCAGAGAAAAAAAAGTTTGGGAACCACTGATATACACACTTAATTAGAAATGTATGATCACATAAGTTTACAGTCCAACAAACCAAATGAAAAAAAAATGTTTGATTGGTGAACAAGAAGACTTGATGAGCTCAGCAACAAGTTAACCATGGCCAGAAATTAAAGATAAATTACTTTATTTTATCAAGTTTGTAGGAACTGAATGAAAAAAATTTGAAATGGGGAAATCAAAAAAAAAAAAAAAAAAAAAAAAAAAGCAATTTGCTTTTAACAGAGTTGGTTATTTATTTAAAGGAAAAAGGAAGGTGTGCTAGGATCCTTACTTGGTGCCTGTGGCAATCCCCGCAAAGAGAAGTGCTGATGGGGCATAAGTAATTTTCATTCCCAGTCCTTATACAAGTAGACTACGAACCAACTTTAAATTCTACCTTGTGGGTGTACAACTGAATACCTACTTGTGCACACACACACACACACACACACAAAGAAAAGGTGCAATCAAAAAATTGGGGGAAACTGAACAGTGTGCAAATCAAATATAGTACAAACTTTTGATGCTACCCTTTGTGATCAATGTTTTTCAAGAAAATAGTGGAAACTAAGTGTTAGTATAAGTCATGTTTTTAAAAAGTCCCCAAACTTTTGATCATACACCTGCACACACAAAATTGATTTTAAAAAGGAACCATAGTTGCTTTGAGAAAGAGAGTTGGGGTAATAAAAAATAAAAATCTCCAAAAACACAAAACTATCTAATGAAAGGCTGAAAGAAATTGAAAATATGAATAGATAGTTCAGAATTTCCAATGCAAAGAAGTTAATTTATTCATTTGATATCTTTGCAAATTTTGTTTTTTATGATTGTACAGTACCATTATACATCAGTTGTTATAGTTGAAATTATTTTGCTTTACCAACAGAGGTTAATTTACTTCTATAGCTGAAGATAAATCTGATGGAACCAATTGACTGCACTTGTTTTGCATGACTAAAACCCAGACTTCTTCAAGAATTGACTCATTGGCACATATGGACATTTGTCTTTGGGTTCTGCAGTAGAGCATAACAACAGTGGAGAAAACTTAATTGTTTTATAATTAATGACATTTTATTTGGAAATTTCTTAAAGTAACAATATGTCTGGTTCAGAATTTCTTCAAATAAATTTAAGATAAACTCAACTTTAATTTATGAATAGTTTCCCTCCCAAATAAATTAATTAACTAGAAAAAAAAAATGAAAATATTCGCTAAGTGTTTAAATGGAGTTGGGTGAGGGGTTGCAACATACCGTAAATTGCGACATACAAGTCAAAATTCTGAGTTATGCCTATACTTACTGTATTGGTTGACCCCCCCCCAACATATGGTAAGCTACCAGTGAGCCAAAACTGTGACCCAAATAGATTGTTTGGGGCTTGAAAACTTGACTTCTATGCCAGTTTATGGCAAACATATGTGATCATATATTCTGGATAAAGATTAGACTAACATTTACTGTATTTTCTTGTGTATAATATGACTTGATTATAATACGAGCCAGTGTTTCTGAAACTGAAAACAGGGAGTAAATGACTTCCTTCTACCCTACTTCAAATAAAAGGTTAAGAAGGAAAACCTGTCAATACTGGAAAGAGCGATAACAGCTACTAGACTTGAGAAACCTGAAAAATTGTTTTAAAAGAAAGATTTTATAAATTTCAACCAAAAACAGTACTGACTGCTCAGTCAATGAATACCAAATGTTTCCTTGTAGGGAA